CGGGGTACAGGTTTGGCCACGGGTAACAGTATGAATGACCCCGGGTAAAACCCATCAGGGGTATACCCGGGGGTCAGCGTATGAATTCAAAAAATGAAACAACAAATACTAGCTACTAGTACATGTAATGACTAGCCTATATCAATCCTGTCCCATCCAGCCTCCATTTCCTGCTCCTCTCCCTCGAGATCTGGTAGGGTTGTGACCTTGTGAATGTCCTCGGGCTTGATGAGGTTTAGTGCGCTCCAGGATCCGAGGCACAGAAGTGCCTGCGTCGACTGCACTGAGAGACGAGACCTGACATGGGAGAGGAGCAAACGTCCACGGCTAAATAGCCGCTCGACATCAACGGACGTTGCTACAAGTCCTGTAAGCCACCTCAGCATGCAAAGTAACATACCACATACCAGGGATAGTTAAGTAATCGATCACCATTCGTGACAGACATGGGTACGATGCACGACGGGCACACCACCAAGCGATGGCATTATCTACATGTTCGATGTTGGAATTAAGGTAGTGGTCCAATTCAGACCCTAAGTCAGCAGGTTGTGGTGGCGCTAGTGTAGGAAGATTGTCAAATATATTGTTGCTCTGAATATGATTCAGTGCGTAGAACAATGTAGGAAAAAAAAACATACCTGCTTCTCGTTTGCCGGCAAATGATTTTCAATCAACTTGAAGTCTGAATCGTCGACGGTTGATAAGTATGAACGCTCAAATTCATCGCGAACAAGCGACTCTGCTGTTTGGATCCATTGGTCTTCCCAGTATGCAACCTTGAAGTAAGATAGCTTATGGCGCGGATGTAAAACTTAATGTAGAAAGATGTTAGATAAAAACTCCTGTAAAATGCCACAAAATACATACCCATAGCAATGCGATAAACTTCTGAACTATCTGTAAGTTCATAGTAATGGTTGAGTGTCTTCTTTGCGAGTTGAACAGCCGCATGAATCGGTGCAGAATATTTCTTGTTGCGCTGTAGAAACAACAATACTGAGTGGAACAAATGATGCTCCTGACAGTATCTATAAAAAGTTGTGAGGTCGCGCGTTGCCTAGTCTGCGTTACTTGAGGAGACAAGTGCGTTCGACCCTAGGGGAAGCGAGTGCTGCGAAGATCTAGAGGTACGCGCTTCAGCGAAGCACGAGAAAGCGCAGGTGCGCGCAAGGCGCGGGAATACGCGCGCGTATTAGCGCGAAGCACGGGAAAGCGCGCGTGCGTATGCAGAAACAACAGAGAGGTTAGACTTAAGTGATGATATGATACTAGATAAGAGAAGAGAGATGCAAGGTGTAAACAGATAGAGTTCTACTATGTTCTCCTAAGTAGTAAGTAAGTAGTAATAGGTAAAATGGGAGGTAAAGTAAGGTAAAGTGTAGTATGTACTGCTGGCGCTTATATAGCGCGCCTAAGCGCGGTCATGCGGAGCCGAAGCACTACCGAGTAGGTATGTAAAAATATATATGAGTGAGAAACTATGATAAAAATAAAGGTGGAACTATGCTAATAAAGGAAATGGAAATATACGTACTAGGGAGCTTGGTGGACAGTGGATGGATGCATCTGAATGGCTGGCACTATAGGGTGCGCAAGCGCGGGAACGCGCGCGCGCGCATACATCATGAAGCGCGGGAATGGTGCGCGCATGGCGCGCGTTGCGCGGGAAAGCTGCGCCTCATATAGAGATAGCTGCGGGTAGCGCACAGAGTGACACTACAAGTTCATGCTATGTACTTCCTAGTGTAAAGCTGTCATATCAAACCATGAGACACACGAGTCTCTACAGCGCGAGTATGAGGTGAGCTCATGGTCAATATGATCCATGGCAGGGATCACGGTAGCCAGGTTCGGGGTCGCACGGGAGAAGTACATAGTCGCATCCTTGAGAATCTTGTAAATGAACATGTGGTTGACTGCTGTGAGATTGCCAGTGGGGACATTCCCAGCTGCTGGGTGAGTTTTTGCCTTCTTTAGTTGTGCAGTCGTGTTATCTCCGTCCACATCATTGACAGGCTTCCGCTTCTTTGATGTGCCTGTCACCTTCTCTTCCAGGGCCGCTTTGGCTTTGGTGGTCATTTTCGTGACCCGTTTTGCAGGACCCGAGAAGACATTGAGTTGCATAGTGGCTGGCGAATGTCTACGGCTGGATTGGTGTAGTTTGAGAATATGCTTTAAAGTTTGATATGTTTTGCAGCTGTACAGTACCCTCTTTAGGTAGTCACATTTTTATATATTCACATGTTGTTTTGACATGTTGTTTTTTGAAACCCGCAATCCGGGTGTGGGTAGGGGTGCGGGTACCCCAAACCTGGACCCCTACCCCTACCCGAGTGGTACCCCTACCCATGACCCGTGCGGTGTCTTCTTAGATAGATGATCTATAGATAAACACCTATAAAAACAAATACCTCCATGGTCAGCGATTCAGACAAATACCAATGACTGATAACGTGGTCGTTCGTGGGTGGCTAGTTGTATACTACCCAAGGTATGTTCAGCTAAGGATACTTCTGCAAGATCAGTAATATGATGGTCAATCCAATCTATGGACTTTGACAGGAAAACAAACAAACAATGGTCAGCCCGACAGTATGGCAATGACCAAAAGAATATACGGTATTCTTCCTCAAGTTCCCTTTCAACAACAGTGCTTCGTACCAACTATACTCCAAAGAAATGGTGCAGAATTACAATGATAAACCCCCTCAGCACAAAACAGGTAGAATCAAAGGTCAAGACTAATCAGATGCTTTATTGTAGAACTCTTAGCTCAATATTGAACCTGCTGTTAAGGAACTCTTCTTTGAGTATTCAAACAGACTCAGGAATGGACGTCCTTGGGTTTACTACCAAGTCCCCTCTTCAACAGCTAAAGCCTAGCAGGCACAGAATATCTTGGCTCAGTATCGCTACTCAGATGAGTGAGGTCAAGCTTCACTATCAATTCCTAAAGTCTCCCCACTATGCTGCTACGGAGTCTTAGGTGGATGTAGAGACAACACGAATATTTTGGATCAGTATTTTTGGACAAAGAACACCAAAGGTCAGTGAAAGTAAAAGAAAAGAAAAAGAATAATGGAAATCAGAATAAAAGTGTGGCTGTACCTTGCTTGCTTTGTTTGAAGGGTGAGAATGACGCGAGCCTAGTATTTAGGGGTTTACTAATGTTTTTCCAGGACAACATATGTGGGAAATATTTTTCACAGTCACCTGACATGTGTGGGATTTTGTCTGGGTCATCACCATGGCTGACTAAGCAAAACTCATCGCAGAATTAAATGTACTAAAATATTCAGGCTGCTGGCATATAGACTTGAAAAAATAAAAAGAAAAGCAAAAAATATGCCCTTAGCCTCAGTCCAACTTCAGATAAAAGGGAAAAGGGTTTCATAGTGGTATTTCAGGGTATATGACTCATGAGAGAGTATTGGTCGTCCATGCACCGAACCGGTTTGGTGCAGGTCAGCGGGTTACCCGTACCCGTGGAGTACCCTAATGACAATGAGTGGGAGGAATGGTGATTGGCGGCTTTGTTGTAGATTATGGTCAATTAGACCAAATTTACCTGCAAATTAGCGTGAATCAGCGTCAAAGAGCTATGGGTCAATTTGAGTGAATTTGCTGTCATTTACACCGGTCAATTAGGTCTTCGCAGAGGGTCGTGCGAATTAGCCGGTCAACCAGAGTGGGATCCCTAATTCCCCGAGCCCTAGTGCGTAAGCCATGCTTACACAGCTGCACTACTGCCAGGTCCACCAGCGAAAGATTTTCCACTGTTCCACACCAAATTGCACACAGACCTTGTTCAATCTGCTGGCATTGCAGTTCGAAGGTAAAGATGGAGTTATCTGGCATAATCATGATGAACATATAAAGCAAGGTATCTTGCTACTAATCCGTCAAGATTTATTTTAGCCTTCAGGCCATATCACATCCTCACTCACAATGTGTTTCTCCTTTGCAATTTTCCTTGTCGTCATAGCTCAGATGGCATCATCAAGCTCTGCCATGCTGATCCAGGCTGAGATCAAAGATTGTCCCATCTTTTGCCTCTACAAATCTGAATGCCGCTCCTGCCCTGGGAAGCATTGCGTGAGTTATAGTGGTTTGTGTCCTGGATTCAACCATGACTCATTGACATGGCAGTTTGCCTTTATATGTGCTGTGAGTAGTGTTTCTGCTTTCACATCGGTGCAGTATGGTTCATGACACTGACACGCGAGTCACTAGTGATCGATTGCCGAGTTGATTAACTAAATAAAGTTTCCTGCCACTCGAGTAATGGAGAGATTGGAATAGATGACTCATGACAAGTCATGGAGTAACTTTTTATATGCATGGAATTAGCACGGAACATGGATCTCCGTGTCCTGGTTTCTCGGAAGGTAGGTGCGTTAGACAGACATTTCTGAAAGTTTTAGGAAACATCACAGGGCTTGTCTGTCTGAATTGGCTTCAAACTAGAAATGAACATTGATCAACCTGTATGGTGTACATAAGTTCTGTACGTGATAAAGACCTGACCTTGCCTGTAATATTTCCAAATAGATGTAGATGAGGAGCATTCTTGTAGCATATGATGGGATGATCACCAGCCACGCAGATGCTGATTGTTCTCGGCTGAATGAACACTATCGCATCATCAGCACAATGAAACCCATCAACTAGAAAGAAACACTTACAGAACAATTTCCAAAGATCAAGATCTTCAGAATGACCATAAATATGCACCGTGATAGTGCAACTTGACCTCAGGGTAGGGCGCCAGTCCCGCGCCAAGCTTCACCTGACTTACATGATTCTTCGCGCTGCACGTATGCCTCAAGGTGTCAAAATCACTTGTTCTGTGTATACACTATGCACCCATGATTGATGATTCGCCGAGTCAGACCTTGAAAGATATCATTCCCAATAAGATTGTAAAGTATGACCTGAGTCATGCCAACAAGAGTACAGGTCATGGCTCAAGGCCCGGCCCGGGGATTCAAACTCACTCACATAGTATGTTGTAGCCATTGCCCCATGCCAGTGTTATTACCTATTGTCACAGTGACATGACAGGATCGGATCTCCTCTTTACCACCCACAAATAAGGTGGGGTTACGATTAGTCCACCAAATCTTAAGCCACAGTACACGTCCTGAAAATGGCTCAATTGCAACATGAAGATAGAGTTGAAAGTGTTGCCATTTGTCATGCTGATCAAATACCCAGATATCATTGACACCCGCTGTCCAGTAAATACTTCTTTTCAGGTGCCGACTCTTGCGAGCTTGAATATCTTGAGGATGATGAAGATTCATGTAGTGAAGAATTAACTTTCTGTACAAAGCCTCTATCACAATACAGAAATGTGACCAAAAAAGACAGTGCACCTTGAAACAATCATCTTCTCTTCATGCATGAGAGTAAGTCTCATATCATGCAAACCTTGCTTGGGAAAGCATGCTCGTACATGCTCGATTGCTGGTCCTATGCTTGTGATGGTGTGGGCTTGTCCACGTGCAGATTTCAGTCCCCACTGTGAGCACCATTTTTTCAGGAGGTCAATCCTATGAACAGGGAAGATATGTGAACTTGAAATGTGCTTTTAACTGGGAAGAAGACGGACAACTCACGAAACATTATACATATCAGTATCATAGTACTTGCACAGCCGAGTTACAATCTCAGTATTAGTGTACCCTTTTGCAACAAAATACTCAATGATTGGTCTGATGAGGGCATTGTCACAACCCTTTAAACAAATTAACGCAGGGCAGAGACTAGGACTCAAACAACAAGATAATCACAAAGAGGATAAGGCAGCAGGTACATCTTGGATTGCTCACTTGGAGATACAAGAGGTTTGAACTAAAGAACTACTAACTACGTTGAGCTACCTATATACACATATTGAAACTGAGATCGAAACTGAGTATGAACTAACTAACCAATCAGAATAATTAAAGGTATCGTATGATTCTATATATAACTATGATGTCATAACATGTGTCGCAGTTGCAGTAAGACTCTGGAACATTCCAAGAGTGTCGTGAGGCATGATGTCGATATCTTCGGCATTGTCCGGTAAGTCACGTGACTCTGATAATTCTACAATGGACGCAATAATAGGAACTTCTTCAACAGTAAACATTTTCTTAGGTACGGGCGCTGTGACTGAGCGCTTAAAGGACTTAGAATTTAGGAATGAATAATGGTTTGTATTTGGAACTCGTGACAGGCATCAGGAGCTGTTGAACGAGATATATCAGTTGCAGGTAAAGTACAAGTGCATACCTGCTACTCATGAGCAGGAACTTGACCATTGTGTCCAATTGTGTTTGGCATCTGTCTGGAGGGAGCAAGGTAAGCAACTAGAGAGAAAGTTTTTCAACACCTTTTGAAGGGAGACAAGACTTCATCTGCGGGTTTAAAGTCCTCGGCTGAGACACGTACCACAGATGAGGATCCAGTGCAGTTAAGCCAAGCATCTGTTTGATCTTTGGTGACAGTTTGATTTGCTGTTATGCCGCATACATTTTTCACAGTCCGCTGTATTTATCGTTGTATGTCTTATATTTATCATTGTATATCTCAATAGAGCATATGTCACAGGTGAGTTATGCACAACAACACTGCACGATTGTCGGTAACTCCTATTACCACACAACCCTAGTTCTGCCCACAGCACTAGTTGCGGTGGATCAACAAATAAGTTCTTCCTAAAATGCATACACAAGTTATTCAGCATATAAAAGGAAGGGGTAGGGCCTGCCACTGATTTTTTTCGGAGAAAACTATAAGCAAAATTAGCAGTGATATGCATAAAACGTGAGTGCGTGAGCTTCCGGGTGTGGCACACCTGGCTATCCCAATTAGTAAGCCTTACTAGGCTTGGTACACACGTGCCGTGCCAACTATAATTAGGCTCGCCTGTAGTTAAATCCCAACACCAGCAATAAATATTGCCCTAAATCATATTTTACCTCTAGTACTGTATTATCACAGCTGCTAAATATATTCGGCAAGGTACGTGTTTACCACACTTACTAATTAGGGTAGCCAGTGCTCTCTACAGCACCATTCCCACCATTCCCGCCATTCTGGCAGTTTCCGTTCCAGGTCCGTGTCCCAATGAGGGTTCTGTTTGGGCAAGGGGCGCTCCCACGCCCCTTGCTTCTCACCTTTATGCTGCCGCCCACACTGGCCAGGACAGCGCCTGCACACCATGTCCTGTGACACAGGCTCAGAGGCCTCTCAGTTCTATGCATTTCCTGTCATTCTGGCAGCTTCTGTCTTAGGCCCTTTTTCAAATAAGCCCTGTTTGAGCAAGGGGCATTCTCACGCCCCTTGCTCCTTACCTTCATAGTGCCGCCTACAGTGGCCAGGACAGCATCAATGCACAATGTCTCGTGGTGGAGTCCCTCTCAGGCTCAATGGGCTTTCAAAATCAGTTGTATCCCACAATTTCAGAGGCCGTCATTGCCAAACATGCATCCTTATGGCTGGCAAGCAGTTTCAGCGTGTAGCTGATACAGATGCTATGTGTTGCACTGAGATTCAAGGTTAGTGCCCATCTTCTGAGTTTCAAGATAGTGTTCACAGTTTTTTTTAGAGATGTCAACAGAAGATCATGATATGGTGGAGAACATGATGGTAGACCATGGAATGGATTCTGAGGCACTCCCATATATGGCACCCCCTGGAGAGGAAGGCTTGGAGTTTAGTCATGCAGGCAGAGAACATGAAGCTTTTGAAGGTCTTGCAAGCCAAATTGCTGAGACCAGTGGCTGGTGAGTTTATTTACCTATCTGCACTTGCTTAGTCTCACCCCACATAATAGTCGCTATACAGATCCCCGCACATGCCATGACCATACAGAAAATCAGACGGCTCACTGGGATATTCAAATAGGTCACCTTGTGGATGCTTATCTTGACTATCGCTCTCGCTCTGCTGAGAATGGCATGCCAACCTTCAATGAACCACCCATGGTGCCATCTTCAAGTGATACTCAGTGCCTTTTGCTAAGTAATATCAAACTTGTAGATCTTTTTTGTATGTATGATGAACTTCACCCTGCTATTAATGCTAATTTATTTTCAGACCGAAGCCACTCATTGCCTCAATCTTTGTTGTCTCACAAGTACCCTAACGAGACCCTGATTTACCATGGCTACATTGGGTGTGCACCAATGTATCCCACGGTTGCAATATCCTTACACACTCTTGCTGCCTACTGTCAAATTCATTGAACATGTCCTTGTTTCAGCATCCAAGCTCAATGCAAAGCTCTGTGTTTTCTCCATGATGTAAGTGCATGGCTCATCTGGTGAACCATCTTACAATGGGCATTTAATAGATTCCTTATCGGCCATACTTGTGCATGCAATTTTTGGCTGCATATGACATATACCTCGAAATCATTCATTCTTTCGATAAGCGTCTCCAGGCAGCCCTGAATTACAACACGCCTAACTGGTGTTTACTCAATTCCTGTCTGGCATGTTTCTATAAGCTCCAGGATGAGCTCACACTTGAGTTTGACTGGCTTGTCTCAATAGATGGCAACAATAGCTTGAAACACTGGGATTCCGCTATATATGGTACAACTGCACACATAGATTCTCGCAAGGCATGTTCCAACTACTGGATTGGACCCATGGCTGTAGACCAATTCAAGGGTGAAGTTAAGTCTTTTCTTCTGATGTTATTACTGCCTGATGATGTCGTACAGGACTCAAGTCTAGATGATTGGGGAGATGAACCCATCAAGACTAACCCAGGCTCACTCACTTGTGTTAGTTGCTGGCGAAATGCCGGACCCGAAACACGCAAGAAGATGTTCTCAGTCTTCCACGAATCAGGCATTTTTATTGCTGCCTGCTGTCATCGTTTCGTACACCTGGCCTGCAACATGATCCAAAGCAGAGAACTGTAATTCACTCTTGCTGTCAGTTAATTTGGCACTGACTTGATTTGATAGAGCTAAATATCCCCTCATGCTCATTGATAAGCTTCTTACGGTTTATGGGAAGAATGGAGCTTGCGCTTATGACATCGGCTGCACGTTCTCCAAGACCTTAACAAATAGCTCCTTAGGCCTGCTGTGGTGACAACAGTCCTGCTGAGTGGCAAGGACAAAGTTGGGTCTAGCTAATGTCTAGCTGCTATGTCTATACAGACACGTTCGACCCTAAAGGGATTTGCTACTAGAGAGATGATGGATATGTGTGAACCTGAGAGCGTGCTAAGCATGGGAAAATAGCGGACAAGGTATGCACGAGGTATAGGAGTGTATCCGAGGTTATCCGAGGTGCAGGAACGCGCGGCTGAAGGTGCAGAAAGTGCGGAAAGAGCGGACAAGGTATAGGGAAGTCAAGGAATGAGGTTTATAGAGTGAGGGCAAAGGTATATTGTGAGGTAAGGGATCCTAGGTATAGAGAGGTATAAGGGACCTAATAGGGGCTAAAAAGCGCGCACTGCTAGGGACTACTTCGAAGGTAAACCTATAGGGTGAGGTATACAGTACAAGGGAAATGTACAGTACGAGGGAAATGTACAGTCCGAGAGAAGTGTCATAAAGTAGTCCAAAGTATAGGTAACTTATAGTGTCTAAAATCCCACTCGGAGTAGGAAGGGATAGGAAATATAGTAAATATGTAAGAACATGTAATAAGGCTGCAACACATTTTACAAGCCTCAAGGTAAGGAAATTCACATACCAATGGGATTTGGACAGACTATGGATGGATGAGGAACCTTCCTAATGTGTTTCTGAGGTATCTGAAGTGCAGGAATGCATGTCCGATGCAGCTGATGCACAGGAAAGTGCGGATAAGCGGATGTGCAAAGCGTGGGAAAGCGAGTTCAGTTTAGGACAAAGGTTACTTGCAACACAAAGATGGACAATGATACTGATAGTGTCCTATACTCCTTGACACATGTATGAAAATACCCTGTTTCCTGCCCGGTGCAGGTCCGAGTGTCACACCACGAGCATTAGACTTGAATTTTTGGATGATGGTTGGCGCATTTCACGGCCATGCACACAACCGCAAATGCCAGTTGGTCTGGCATCCAATGTATATCTTGGGCACTGGACACAGTGAGGGTGAAGGGTGTGAGCACATATTTTCCGCCTCAAATGAGCTCGCTCGTAGCACTAGACATGCGAGCCTGTTCCACCGGCACCAAACTATTGAAGAACACTTTGCTTTTTGGGACGCTGACACGTATGCTGTGCTTTGTGCATAATTTCTTTAAGGACCTAATATTCAATTATGAAACTGATATTTCATTAGCCAATTTTTTATCAAATCATTACCAAGAAGCCACCAAACAGATCAGTGTGCTCACAGCTGAACTAGCCATCATTCAATCTGAGCTTGGTCTTACTGATGCCAACTTCCCTCGCTTCCTCAAGGAAGAACATGGTTATCTTGATAGTTTGAAGCAGCCCCCTGAAAAAGATCGCCTCTCTGTTCGGTATGTTGAGGTGCTTGATGAACTTGCTGAATGGAGGTAATGATAACTATTTTGTTGATATGTGGCCCTGACACTAATTTATTAGGGGGCTGATTGGGACTTAGCACGTGAAGCTGCTAATAGTTCCCTCACTGCAATTGCAGCCAGTAACCTGGAGCAGATAAACAACATACTTTCGCAAGCTCATATTCAGGTCGACTCTTCATATGCTAAATTACAGCATGCCGAGGCATTGGTTGCGCATGTAGAAGCTCTCTTGGCTGTTGATGCACGATAGGAGATTGGTGGCCAGGAGTATAACCATTTTAAGGAGGAAGTATCTCAGCAAGTATCGCAGTGCGCTAGATGACCTGGAGTGTCTGGTTGTTATGAGGTTATTTGAACTTTCGAAGTTGTCATTGTCTGGCACAGGTGTTTGTTTATTGCAAATCACACATTCAGTGAGCAAACATTTTTTAGGGTATAAACTACGTCAACAACTTGGCAAAGTGCTACAATGGTGATCAGAAGCTATTCGGAATGCCATCAACTGCTACAATGTCCAAGCTGTCACTTTAAATCCACCATGACAGAAGGTATCTCGGAAAGATGTCGCTGACTACAGTTTCCTTGGCAAATTCGATCTGCTGCGCCATTCTCATACTGATATTCAAAATAGTGACTGGGCAATGCCTGCTCATCAAGAGGCAACCACCAAATATTTCAAGCTTTGTCAAGCTTGCGAAGAAATTACTCAGCTCAACATTGAAGTTCACTGTCTGCGTACAGCAATTCATGATGAAGAACTCCATACCTCTACTGTCATACAGGATCTTCGTGTTTCAAACCCACAGTTGGGGAATGAGCTTCGACGCCAGTGGCGTTCATGTATGGCCATCAATGCTATTCATTCTTTTTGCCTAGATCACATTCCTGGATTTTCAGGAATGAGAGGTGTTGGTGTCCACCTTAATCAGTTCACATTGTCTAGCAATGATAATGCAGATTTAGCCCATTTTACCTGTCCTGGTACGTTTTGTGCAAGTGTTCGTTATTTGATGTTTTGAAACTAATTATATTGCAGTGCAATGAGACATCATTGATGATGTGCATGATATCATTGCTTCTGATATGGACCTAGATGCTGAAGAGAATTATTCATTGACGCAGGACATGGCTGACTATCTACAATCCATTAACGATTAACATTTATCTCGTGATCTACAGCACTCTGCTATGTATTTAATGACACTTCTGATAATAATAATTATGCTTCAGAACAGCGAGAGTGGCGGTCTGAAAGCTATCCTGCTTGAACTTTAGAATAGCGAGAGGTGGGCTTACTTACATAGAATTAGCTTTAGAACAGCAAGAGCGGCGGTCTGAAAGCTACCCTGCTTGAACTTTAGAATAGTGAGAGGTGGGCTTACTTACATAGAATCAGCTTTAGAACAGCAAGAGCAGTGATCTGAAAGTTACCCTGCTTGAACTTGAGAATAGCGAGAGTAATGGTCTGAAAGCTACTCCACTTGGACCTGATACTTACATGAGTGTTAATATGTCTAGTAATTGAGGCGCCAGGCTTGCTTACATGACCGCTGTCAATACATCAATGTTCACCAAAACCTTTCTGATGATAGGATGAACACTCCTATTATATGTTATTAAATAGCCTTTGCTAGTGCCTTTGACTTTTACATTCAAAATACAGCAGTCTGTTTTCAACATCATGGTTGTTACTCCCCCCAAGGCAAAACCACAGCCATACGCACATAAATTATCGCCAATGGAGACGCTCACACTAGTACCAGGATCTGATCATTTCACAATGTCTAGTCTAGCTGCTCTCCATGCATCACCATTTGCACAAGGCTTCAGCAACAATGAATGTCAAGCGGCTGGAAGGGCATTGTTTAGGCATGACATGCACATTGATGGTGCTCATTATCACGCTAGGAAACCTGGTGGTCTTCACCCAGCATATGCTGCATTCAATCAGACTTACATATGGTAAAGAGAGGACTCTCACTCATGTCGAACTAGTTGAGGCTGCACTCCAGGATCTTTTTGATGCAGTAAGTTTAGACTTTCATACATTCTTTCTAAAATTTCATAAATTATTCAGGTAACCATGCAAGACCATATTGATGGTGGAATCTCTCTCCTCATTCAATGCCCAGGCTCTGAAGTGTCTTCAACAGCCTTGCCTGAGGAACTTGCTCTTGACCTCTACATCACACCCCATGAACTTCAAGAAACACCACAGTGCATCAGTGGAGATGTTACTACCTTAGTACAGGCTTTTGCTGCAGAATTTGTGCTACCTCATCTTCAACACTTTTCCAAGTGTTGTGCTGTCGAAGGCATCAAACCACCTAAGCGCTGTAAGTCAATTGATTTTTGTATACTAATCTCACTGCTAACATAATTCTGAAGTTCCTGCTGCACATATCAATACTCATGGTCCACAATACCTTCCTTCACCCATGGATGCTGCTGGAGCCCATATTCAGTGCTCTGCGCAATCACCGCAAGCTTTTTCCAATGACTTCGAAGTTCAAGCTCAGTCAAAAGACTCCAACCAACATCCTGTCTGCAGCCATTCGTCAGGGAGTGGAATTGGCTATCAGCACTGCGAAAAAACCAACAGCACATTCCCAGCGGATTTGTCAACATTGACTCGCAGATGTATTTGTCCCTGGAGATAACAATGCAGGCCCGCTTTTGTCAGGTCAGGAACTTAGCCACAATGAGCCAAGGTTTGGCCCTGCACTCATTAGCATTGGAGTAAATACTGATGTGGCACTTGATCGGCTCGGTTTGGGAGATGAAATTTTGCTTAGATTGTGAACCTTAATTGGAACTACCTGCAGTAGCCGATGGGAGGTAGTGTTTAGGTCGCCAAAGTGGAACCTTACTTACAAACAGGCTGCTATCCTGTCGAAGGCTCTGCTCGCTGACCTTCAAGTTCAACCCGAGGTTGTCAAGGTTGGTGTTTTTTTATACTATTTCAAACTGTTCAATCTATGCTAACTCTTTTGGTGTTAGTATGATCTATCATATTCGGTACTGACACTCATTCTCAAGGTCCTTGGAATTCTAGTCTTTGTATGTGCGCTTTACTTCTTTGGATTAGTGTTCTTGTAGATCTTAGAATCCGTTTATGTCAGTCTGAATATGTGTGTCCATCTACCCTGAACCTGCCATCCACAGCCTTGAAATTTATTTATTTATTCATGGTGTGTTAAATATCTTAGCTTGGATGCAAACTAGTGCTTACACCATTGCAGCAAACAATGGTCTCTCAGTCGTTTCATGTCGTCAAGAGCGTCTCTGCAGGTCGGTGCATTCAACTGCCACCTTGTACTTGTCCCAAGGTTGTTTTAAGCAAAGAAGCGCGAGCTGCACTCATATACAGCCGACAGGAGAAGTCTCGTCAATTCAGAGACGCCTTCAATGACACCTGGAACCAGCTTGATGAGGCCACAAAGACCATTGCTGTGTCTCACCACAAAAGTGTATGCTACGTGCAAAATGACTTGTATATTGGTCATGGTTTGCTTCGCTCAAGGCATTCTAAGCTGAATGCATGGAATGCGTTCTGCTGGAAGAAAAACCAAGAGACCAAGAACCGTAAGCTTGTTTGACTCATTACACACACTTACTAACACATTTTTTGACAGGTAATCAGGGCCAAGGGGCACTTGAATTACTCGTCCATGAACATCGGGATGAATACCTTCGACTTTCGAAGGATGAGCAAGACAATATACTTGCAGAGTATGCCGATTGGAAAATGACAAAGGTTACTGGCCTCCGTGTCTCAGAAAAGTTCAAGATAAATGACATTACTCAAACTCTCAAAGCTGTCAAAAATGAGGTGCGTCCTTCATTCATTTGACTTTCAAGCTTACTGATACCTAGTCCATACTACTGCTAGCTCAACAGCCTCAACTGTTGCACAGGTGCAGAGACCATTCTGTATACAACACGTGGCTCTACAGATCTCCTTCTGCGAGGTGTCACCTTTGCCACCAAAGGTGTCCAACACTTCATGAGTTCTGTCATGGGGATCGACAATCAAGATCTAGTCAGCAAGATGGAAGGTTTTGCAGTGCAAGGGATGAAAGGTTTGAATGTTCATTATTATTTTTTGCCTACTGACTCGTTACATTTAGGCACTGCTACAAATCACAAATAACAAGTCTCCGAAATTCACTCAAAAATTCATGATATCATCAACACCAAACTACATCAGGTTTTTCTAGTCTTCTGCAAGGTATTTGACTCATATGCATTGATAGAACTCATCACTGGTGATCCTGATGCCAGGATGCAGTGGACACATTATTTTCGTAATGTTGTTCAGCACTATCAAGTCGCCATTGAGGGCTGGCCGGACAACATTACATTCACTAACCTTAGTCAAGCCTCGAGTGCACGTCCCGACCTCGAGATGCTTTACTCAAAGTGGGAGTCAAAACAAATCAAATGGAAGGTACTGGCTGATGAGGAGTTCGAGGAGCTTTATTCAAAATGCCAGGGGCAGATTGACAGAGGCAAGATCATTGATCACTGTCAGTGAACTCATTCTGACAAAGGAAAGAAGCGCAAAGGGCTCCCAGCTGCCATGAACCCAAATCGCTGCAAAAAGTACGAGAGTTCTGAGACCGCCGAGGACAATGATTGCACTGATGAAGAGGATGAGCATGGGGATGAAGAACGAGACGAGCCTGTTGATGAGCCTGTCCGTCGATTTTCCACACCAGCAGCTGCTCATGCTGCTAATCAACCCTCTACTTTTGATCTGGCTAATACCTCTACTAGTTTGCAGTTGCCAGGTTCTAATGTCCCTCTCCCTTCCAATGCTCCAGATGCATCAGATTTCAACTTTTATATCCCTAGAGACTCTGATGTATCGACTTTCCCTCAGTTTGACTCTGATGCTATGTTAGCAACCTTAGATAGGATGTTCGGTCCTGCACCTTAGATTTTCCTACTGCATATCATGCACAACTCTTGTTCAAGTTCAATGTTTTGTCTCACACTTTATCATATTAACATATACAGGTTATATTTGCATAACTACAATCAAGTTCATGAGGCTGAGGGAGTCGTGCAGGAGCACTTCAAAATTCATTCCATAGTCTATCATCAAGCAAGGGGCATCAGAAGTAAATGTAAGACTCATTGAGCACGTCCGACCTATTAAACTGATAAGCAGTTTGAACGACTTCACTTGAATTATGCACTCACATTCAAAATAGGTATAATTCAGTGGTGATCACGCCAATGAGGATAAATGACTTTTGCCAAGCGCGATAGTAGGGCAGGTGGCAGTATCCACGTCAACACTGTAAACGTTGCAAACGTGGAGGGTGGTAATGGGGAGGAGAATGCTTGATGGGAGGACGATAGTAGGGCAGGTTGCAGTATCCACATCAGCACTGTAAACATTGCAGATGTAGAGGGTGGTAATGGGGAGGAGAATGCTTGATGGGAGCACAATAATAGGGCAGGTTGCGGTATCCACATTGGCACTGTAAATGTTGCAAACATAGAGGGTGGTAATGGTGAGGAAAATGCTTCTTGATAGTCTGTAAACAGAGGCCTCTGAGCCTGAGAGGGACTGCACCATGAGATGTTGTGTGTTGATGCTGTCCTGGTCGGCCTAAGATGGAAGCTGCCGGAATGACAGGAAATGCATAGAACTGAGAGGCCTCTGAGCCTGTGTCACAGGACATGATGTGCAGGTGCTGTCCTGGCCAGTGTGGGCAGCAGCGTAAAGGTGAGGAGCAAGGGGTGTGGGAGCGCCCCTTGCCCAAACAGAACCCTCATTGGGAAACGGACCTGGAACGGAAACTGCCGGAATGGTGGGAATGGCGGGAATGGTGCTGTAGAGAGCACTGGCTACCCTAATTAGTAAGTGTGGTAAACACGTACCTTGCCGAATATATTTAGCAGCTGTGATAATACAGTACTAGAGGTAAAATATGATTTAGGGCAATATTTATTGCTGGTGTTGGGATTTAACTACAGGCGAGCCTAATTATAGTTGGCACGGCACGTGTGTACCAAGCCTAGTAAGGCTTACTAATTGGGATAGCCAGGTGGTGTGACGTGCTGTTGCAAGGTGAGCGCCGTTACGATGGTAGTAATCTTTATTTATTCATCAACGGATCCGCATCAGCAGCGTCCATGGTCCTGACTGGATTTAAGCGTAGTAACTGAGCGCGAGTGTCCGGGCTTCCATAATACACAAGTTATTCAGCATATAAAAGGAAGAAGGTGACGTTTCAGATTGATTCAATCGCATCCTCATCACACACAATGCATTTCTCCTTTGCAATCGTCCGAGTCCTCGCCCTCGTTACTGCTTTTGCATCATCAATATCTGCCATGCCCACTGATGCTAGCATTGGGTACTGTCCCATATTTTGCCACAAACAGAGTCAATGTAGTACCTGCCTCTACAACCATTGCGTGAGTTTCAGTAGTTTGTGTCCTGGCTTTAACCGCACGACTCACCGACATGGAAGAGCTTCATTGTATGCACGGGTTGAACGTGACGTAATACGAACATACTAACGGCCCGATATATCGAGTACTTGACTTCAATTTTGAGTACAAGGGAGATGATGAGATTGGACTCGGTTCACAGAGCAGAGAAATAGAAGTTGATCGATGATTTAATTGCTGTGATGATGCGGCGATTAATTTTGAGCGTTTGGTCTTTTATTTCTGATAAGGAGAAGTACGTAGCACGGGCGCCAACAAACAGATGATTGAAACCAGTACGACATCGCAGTGAGAAGTTGATGTATTTCAAGAGAGGCTACTACAAAGAATGTAAAACAAGCATCGTATCGTCAGTCTACGGAGCACACAACACAGGCGCCAAGAGTGAAACAGTCACCAAAACATCCGGTAGGACGCTGCAGTGGGAAGACAAGCTGAGCTACTTGGAGCCTTCCACAACGACGTAAAGTGGTAAAAACTTGGCCTGGAGAGATGACGATAGGGCTGACGCGGGCTACATTGAGGTCATTCAGACACTGCGATGTGCACCTCGGTCCTCGAAAGATGTGAGACCCACATCTCGAGACGTGAAACGCGGTGAGAAGCGGGGATGCTTGTAACCAGGAATGGAATCTTTGAGCACATAACACTGGAAGCCTATCAATGAAGCGTGGGTTATGCGCTGGCAAACATCAAGAAGGTCGTTTCGGAGATATAGGACATCATGATGAAATTAAGGATCCTGCCTGATACGTGGGTATATAAACAATGAGTGTAAACAATAATTTAAAGTCAGCGGTCTTCGAAATAGGCAAGTGTTGTTGATGTACGAAAAGAGGACAATGGTTTAGAAGCACAAAAGACATGTTATTATTCAAAGTTAGATATATACCAGCCATGTACTCAAGGCTTTTCATCCGTTCACCAACAGCATGAATATACGTCAGTTGTATCTTCTTGTCTTTGACTACCAAGTAACTAACCTCCTTACAGTTTTCAATCGTGCTTCATTGAAGCGTAGCTCTCGTACTCGTACCAGAAAACCCTCAGACGCTGGCTGTCCATCAACCCTCGAAATAATACCAGAGTGCTTAGAAATTTGCAACGACTCGCGCCTCACTCTATCCGAATTCCCATTCTCAATCGACGATGCCTTGGTCATGCTCAATGACACCCCTCGTTCACCTACTCTATCTGCATCCTCTTCCACAGATGATAGCATGCCTGCTACCCCATGTGCATCAGACGACGAAGATCTTCCTCTCCCAACTCCTCGTCTAACACCAAAGCGCATCACCATTCGTCCTCTCTGTATAACCAAGACCCGTTCTATAGTCTGCGAGGACGTCACCGATCCTCCTGAAGAAGAAGACGAGTACGATTTTTACACACGCCAATTCGAGGACTTTATCTCCCTGTACTCGCCTGTGCCCTCTGCACCTGCACCAGCCCGTCCAGAATCTATCATTCTCTCACCCGAAGTAGCACCCCAGCCACCAAAACCACGCGGACGCAGTCGTTTCTCAAAGGCTCTCCCACTCCTTCCTCTCCCTACCCCACCTCTAACGCCTATACCACCCGTTCCGCAGCTACCAGTCTCAGCTATCCGGAAAAAACGTGTCCTTCCACCCTTGCCAGTCTACCCACCACCCCCACCCCCAATTGAAAACCGCCCCCCTCCTCGTATGGCTGTCCCCTCTGACATCGAAGAGCTCGATGTTCTCGAACAAGAGGAGCAACAGCCAGTTTGCCCAATCATCATCGAACAAATATGGTTTGACGATGAGGAAGAATCCATATATTCTCAGCCTTCCTTCGTACCAAGCCAAGATATCGCACCGGCAATCCCGGAAACACTCAGCCTTCCCCGCGCAAGCACCGACTCTGACACTCCCCGGTCGTCTCTGGACTCATTTTCAAGCAGCCAATCCCACTCTTCCTTCTCATCCTCGAGCTCGTCTGAAGAAAACGCCCCCATCTCCCCCTTCTCCTTCCCTCCCACTCCAGGACCCGAACCCCATCAACTCAGCAGTCGATGGAGCTGTTCCACAATATCTTCACACATTACTGAACCTCCACGCACAATTTTGAGTCCCTTGCGTGGGGTGTTTGTGTCCAAATCGAAGTTGAATTCAAGGTCAAGGCGGGCGCCTCCTCCTCTGCTTCCGATTATGTCTACGCCTCCTCGATCTCGTGCATCGCATAGCTCATCGCCTCTACACCCGCGGAGCAACACCCAGAATCAGACCCGGTCACAGAGTCCGTACAGAATGCCCCTAACACGAATGTTATTCCCCACGACGCCCTCCCCGCCCACAACGCCCACGCCCAGCAGGCACATCCGCCATCAACACTCACGCTCGTCGACGTCTTCTGAGTCGTCTGAAAGCGGGAGCTGTGAGAGCGGAGGCAGTGCGGGGTTGAGAAGGAAACCGATTCCTATTGAGATGTTTTTGCGGGCTTGATTGTCTGAGCGTGGGTGGGGTTTCGATCTTCCTGTCTATTGTCTTTTCCGTTGTTCTTTTGTTCAAAGGTTTTGTTTTACCTTTTTCGATGTCTCCTTGCTCTCGTTAACGACGACGATTTATGATTATTGTATCCATCATCATCACTCGCAGCTCGCTCATTCATGCATATTAATATCCATAATGTACCTGGGTCTTTCCGTCACTTTGCATTTCTTCATTGACACGTCTTTCGTTTTTTTATATCTCTGAACTTTTGCATATCTTTGCATTCCATCACGCTTCTACGCACCCTCTCTGTCTCTATAGCATGGTCCACCTGTAGCCTAGTTCATACTATGATGAAATGATATCCGATGTTTTGACGTTCCTTACGAGCGAGATCAATATATCCCCGCAAATTTCCAACAGATGTCTTACAGTAATATCAGTCTGCCATCAGAGCTGGTCTTTACAAGGTTGGAATCCAAACGAAAATCCGTTTTTCTGCAAGGTTCACTAAATGCAAGGTGCAATGTGCTTCAAGTAAAGCCAGAATCACATTTGGTCAGTAAGATGGAAACTCGTCGTGTGACGAGTTACACCAAAGTCGAGACAATCGGTTAACAGAACAAAACGCTGTATTCATGATAGCTAAGGTTCGAGATATGAGATGATGGTGCAAAGAAAAATAAACAAGTCCAAGCAGAAAAGGCGTGTTGTTACATGCATAAGCATTGTAAGCAATACTAAGAAATATTATTATATTGGTAGGTTGGTAGTGACATACTTACAACGAACAACCACGTATGTCGAACAATTGAGGATTCGTAAAAAAAGTGATGTGATTGACGAGAATCGATGGGCTCCAGGTACTATTGCAGGTATCGCTACATCTACAACTGAGACGACGTTAGTGATGTCAAAAATGGCAAAGTGAAGCAGCTATGCTCACCAGCCATTGTAAGAATGCTTCCAGCTTGCTCTTTGGCGGGGGATCATCATACATGTCCGCTAAAATTTCAGCTATATCGGTCTTGAAGTCCATGTCCTCTGGAGCAACAGGCTTGGTACCATAGTAGAAGCGAGCGCCAAAGTACATGATTGGCCAGGTGATGAAAAGGATGTAGTTGGTGATGAAAGTTGCAATACTCCACTCTCCTTTGAGGAAGACGTTCCATCCGCTGAACTAAAGAGTAGAGGAACAGTCAGTCTCAATAGCATTGGTGGATATGAAAAGTTGGCATACGAAACAGATGGTAACCGTTGAAACTGCTCCCCACCACGCTGCGTATGGCTGGAGATTTGTGTAGTAAGGGAACTTCGTGCGGTCGATGCCTTGGGCCTGCATACCCTTGTAGAAACGGAGGTACGTCACCGAAATACCAAACCATGTCATAAGGCCAGCGACGGATGTCATGTTAGAAAACCAGATAAACACTGAGCCCGCATTGTTGGACACAGCCATGAAGGTAAGAAGGGAGAAAGAGGCGGAGAAGAGGATAGCGACATAAGGCAGTCCGTTGCGTGAGGTTTTAAGGAAGAACTTGGGAGCATTTCCTGAGATTGCAAGACCATCTACGAAAATAGTTGATTTCGATGAGTTGACTGCCAGATAAGTATACGCACAAATCGCACGAGACGCCGTGTACAAATCACTAGATGCGGCGGACCATGCCGAGGTCAACAAACAAGCATTGATGATCTGTTTTGAATACCATTGTCAATTTCTAGGTAACAAGGGAAGGCCAAATGCGGCTTACCGAAGGCAGTGATTTAATTCCCGCCTTTTCGATAGCAATGACGAATGGAGACTTGGCGGCTGTGTCATGGGCCAATTGGAGAGATGGGTCGTTGGATGGTACAAGCAGACCAATGATGAATGTTCCACCAATGTAAAAAAGCAATATACGGATGTATACTCGACGGATGGCTTTGGGCAAGTTACGACGAGGATTCTTCGCTTCTCCAGCAGCAATCTAGGTGGGATTCGTAAGTAATGGATTTATTGAACAAGCTTATAGTATAACGTACAGCAACAATCTCGGTTCCAAGGAACGAGAAAGCAGCTTGCATCAAAACAGCCCAAAAGCCAAGGAATTGTCCCTTGGCACCTTCGATGCCATTATACTGAACGAATGGTCCAGGATTTTTCCAGTAGCGGAATCCAATGCGGTCATGGTTTGGGCCGCCTCCCAAATCGATGACTATACCGATGATGATAAGACTAGTGATTGTGATGACCTTAATGGATCTGTGGTAATCTCAGAATACAAGGCCGGGATACAATACTTAGTACGCACGCAAATATGAATTCCGCCTCGCCGTAAGCGCCAGCACCGAGCATGTTAATGGCCAGAACGACGACAATACATATGACGACCCACACTGAATTATTGACAGAGGGATTCCAAAAGTTTATCAATACTACAGCAGCAGAAAACTCGGCTGAGATGATAAAAATGTCAGTAGACACGCTAAGAATATGCATTCAACAACTCAAGTACCAGGTGCTAAAGAGTAAGGGGTCAGTAATTGTGAGAAATGGGAGAGCAAGAATGGGACTTACAGGTAATCGTCCAGCTGTACCAGTAATTCCAACCCACGGCAAAAGAGAACGCAGGGTCAACGAAGCGCTCAGCCAGTTTGATGGGACCACCAGGTATAGGCAGGTAGGAAATCTACGAGACATAAAGATCAGATATGTGATCTAGATCTGGGGCGTGCAGCAAGCATACCATTTCTCCTAAAGTGATCATGACGCAATAGACGATAGAGCCCATGACTATGTAACCGAGCAACAGACCGATGGGGCCTCCTTGCGATAAGGAGTCTGCAGTTCCAACAAAAAGACCAGTACCGATAACACCGCCAATACTTGACGGAGGTGAGAATTTGTCAGAAGAAAGAAGAAAGTATAACAGACCTAATCATGGTGATGTGACGATTCTTGAGTTTACGTTGCAGGGTATTGGTGTTCCGCAAGGGCCTCTGCATAGACTCTCCATCATGGTTTGAGATGTCAGAGAATTCGCCTCTGCTAGTGTGATAAGCAGCAGCATCGGCAGCATCCGTCTTTTCTGTATCCATCATGGTGAGCGCTCGTGAGCGAGAAGAGTAGGAGGGGAGAGATAAGACTTCAACTCAACCACGATCCATACTAGATATATGAGTGTCCGGTGGGCCGTGGTAGTATCTTCTTTACAGACGGTGATCAATATAGACACCATATCTGATTGACCTAGCAGGATTAGGCAGGCCAGGCACCGCACCGTTACAATGAGGGCCCATCATTGCTCCGCCTCCCTGAATTTCCCGTAAATCTGCTTAGGCAGATCGGAGAATTTCGCTGGAAGAGGTATAAACATAATGGCATCTACCATTCCATGCAGCTCCTATATGATATTGTACAGCATCGACATCTGATTGGAGTGATACGGTCTGCCATTTGGAGGTACAACATAGCCTCCCAGTGCTGTTTACACGATGAGCCTATAGCTACCAGCATTTAAACATGGAGAGTACTTACTGATCAAACTCTACGACACATAATTGGAATCTCACTTGCAGAGGAGCCGCGTAATAGGGCGCGTGATAGGGCGCCATCTCCGAGTTGCAACATCTCACCGTGATCTTTGCCTTTATCACTGCGACGTGCAGCCAGCTGGCGGCCTTCACATCGGCGTCAGTTAGTGGTTGCTTGTATCTGTGGACCGGGAATCTGGCTGGCAGTCTGTAAAAGCATACCTCTAGAGTATGCATATCCGCAGTCTCCCCATAGAGGTTAAAGACTGCATCTGCATCAGAGACGAGTGAATTGAACAGTATCCCAAAAATGAGCTAGTCGTAAACCTACCGTACATTAGGACTGTTGATAATGAAATCCAATTTACTGATGCCGACAGGTTCTGCTCATGATGTTCATCTATGGCAGATTGATGATCATATCTTATCTTCAGCTACTATTATAGCTAGTGGTAAATGGATTTTACAAGGTTCAGACAGACTAAGACTTGCCAGCAAATGGCCCTTCTTCAAATTCATGCGTGCCCTCGCACGACTGGGATCGATGGGTCTTAGGCCCTGCGGTGGAGACATGCCTACAATCCACGCGGCAGATTTTGCAGCAGGTTGGCGCAAAGTGCATGTGCTCTAAAAGCAACCCTGAATTGTCGCATGCCATATTTGGCAGAGAATTTTAACAGCACCTACATCATAGGAAGAAACCAGCCGCCTACAGCCTAATTTCTCGGGCATGAGACGTTCTATGAATGGAGAGCACAGTTCCTATGGCCTCCCGTTCGACCGCAAGCTTGTGAGGCTGACAGTCTGCTATTACAGAACATTCAGTTATGGTACAAACCTGCCAAGCGGTGTGCCCGCAAAAATGATCATATTATATGGTTCATTGCCTGGGCGGATGAAACTTTAACATAGATTGAAAATGAGAGCGCAAGTACAAACTGCTTCTAGAGATTATTTGTTCGTGTATAGTATGCCTCCTAGTGTTCGTCAGGGTCGGTCCAAGTCCAGCCTGAGGTCTGAGGTTTCACGGACTTCTATCGGAAATTCATGTGGAAAATTGATGACGGTCCTTTGGGCGAGGTTTGCAGTCCGAGATTAATTACAGTCCCAGGAGGTAGTGAATATATATATGAAGCATCTATTGCATGAGAATGTGTCTTTAGCAATCAGAATAAGTAGGAGTAGCCACCAGATGAGGCGCGATGAGCGACAGTAACAGTGCGAGCAGGTTGCCAGAACAGTCGTAGAACGAGCGGAGCTAGTAGGATTGTTTCAAATCTCGCGGAGAACGGCACTTCGCGATGCAAAGGTTCACATGATAAATTACATAACCGTCGACGCGGCCTTTGAAATCAGGTTTAGGGTCCGAGGGACGGCTGAGGATGACGTGGACCGGTTATGGTCAACTCATTGACAACAATATTTTGAAAAATTGGAATTCTAATCGGACAGAATCTGATTTCACGACCATTTACTAGATGTGCACATCTTCAACGCTTTAGCATTAACCTCAGCTTTTCAGCTGCGGGCATATTCTCCGCACGACTGTCGGATGCAGAACAGATCAGATCAAAACAGAACACGATAGCACCTATACAAATTGAGTGATCTGATAGAATATCAAATGAGAATATCCATCCCGCCCCATTCTAACACCCTCAACAAAGTCACGTCACCAGCTCTTGCAGGATCAACTCCAACCACATCCACCCACCAAGCAACGTTTTTCTCGGCTTGCATCTGTGCATTAGCCCAATTTGCTAAGTGCTCCTTACAGATACCTTTGAACAACATGCATACGCGAGTCACGACGTCAGGCTGCGGAGAGATGCATAAAGAAGCAGCGCGTTCGTATGCCGCTTGAGGAACAGGTCGGAGGGCAATATATTCGTGCTTGAAGATATATGGTAGCCAGTAGCTACCACGGCAGTTTTAGCGACGTGTTTACGATTTGACAGCCCGAAGTAGTAGCGCATATGTACGCACGTTATGAATGATGTTCTAGCTTCGGTGTGAAGTCCCAAAACCTTGAGTGATTTGTCGGGGTAAACTGTTACTTTGTCCACTGGAATGACAATTGAATCCATATCATTGAGACTGCTGGATATTGAATTGAATGTATCCACTGGTTGCGGTTGGGATGCTGGTGACCGGGGAGATGCTTGCAAATTTATCCTGCAAAGAGGAATACAGGTTAGAAGTGCGATTTCTGTATCATCAGGGGACCTACTGCGCCTCCAAGAACAAGTACGACACATCTAACACCCGAATAATGTTCAGTCAGACTCCCCATGTTGATGGGTGCGGACATTCCATTCTAAACGTTGTCCATGCTCTTCTATGGCAACAACAGGATGGATGACAGAGAGGCTTCACCCAGGAATGAGGGAAAGCTTGACGGAAATATCGATGTCGGAGGGCGAGTATAGATAAATGACTGGTTTTTTTACAGCGCAACTCATCATCACAGACTTCAAAATTGACGCAGTCACCATCCTTGACATGGTACGATCCGACCCACTAGGTTCCTAGCATCGTTACCCGATCCAAGCGCTGTTCGGAAACCCTACTCAAGACTGCCCTGACACCAATGGGATGATGTCCCAATTTCTGACTAGCGTCAGCAATAAGTTCGTCCACCTTCATCTTCCTCGGGATTTTAGCAGTCTGGATCTCGCCAGATGGAAAAACAAGTATGATTGTGACTTTGTCATCGTTCCTGCTACGTGGTCTCAACTTCAGTACTGGAAACACTTGTAGAATATTTTGGATGCGTACAAGCTGTCCTGTTCGTTAACCTGACTTAGCGCCGATTGATTGTCAGGCAATGAAATAGCCGAAGCATCAAGCGGCAGTGGGACGGGCAACGTCATTTCCGCGCGCCGAGCCACTTCAACGACATTAAGCAAGTCAATGACATCGAACCATATCTCAGCCGTGATATCCACGTAGTAGCCATCGCAAACATCGAGTTGACTGGTCTGAAATATGACCACATCTCTCGAAATGTTTCGGAAATGTTTGCAGGCAGAGTCAAGCATGAGCTTATGATATCTATGAGCCATTAAATATCTAAATAGCTGTACCACTCACATTATACGACCTTTGCCGTTTGACCCTGACCCGTTTTTGTCCATGTTCCAGAACAAGACGTTGGGAAATCTGTTTCTCTTTAGTCCGAGTTTCATATCCATGTTTGAAAATTTCAAGTAGAGGGTGATGATGCTGTCTATGAGCCATAGCATGCTGGCACTTGATCCCTTAATAACAGTAGGCGGCTTGCTGGCTATGGCATCCACTGCACATGATGCTATGATGCTGCTACGCGTTCATCAGTGAACCGATGATGATATTAAAATATCATATTAGACTATGTATTAATAACAATCACAACAATTCCCACAAATGTGGAGGGGGGGTCTACATAGAGATATCTGACTTTATGTAGGAAGGACGCGTTTTGAAGGCAACTAACCAAGTCTTGGTATGCTCAAGACACTGCCTTCCGCGTGGAAGTTCATGCAAGGGAAATATAAAACGGAGTGGAAGGAAGTACTAACCAAGTCTTGGTATGCTCAAGACACTGCCTTCTGCGTGGAAGTTCATGCAAGGGAAATATAACACGGAGTGGAAGGAAGTATACTGTAGTCCCGATTTGTCAGCGCTAGCACAAAAATTGCCAGCTATGATTGATAAACGGTACTTCAGTCATTCAAATATTAGTAAGATAAGATGACGGATGCTAAAAGCTGGAAACTCTTCACACTGGTTGTAAATTGATGTCCTTGACGTTTAACTGTGTGATGAGAAGATGCGAGTTTAAATTCACCAGCCTGTCTACTTTGTTGCACACAAGGCACTTGATTCCTACCTGGGAGACACTTGCCTAGGGTAACAAAGACATCGATCATATCCTTCACACAAAGCACTGCTACCACTTCATCTTGATACCATCGTCAAAGTGATTGGCCCACTGTTTGTTTCCGGTACTACCTTCGAGATTGCATTCAACTTACAATGCTTGAAGTGGTAGATGATGTTGCCTGTGACATCTGATTCACGCGGTCATGGGGTGGTTAAATACTTGTCAACTGTTGGACTGGAGTGCTAAATTGAGCCAGATATTGGCGAAATGCCGTGTTGGAAACAATATTGCCACCCCGCTCTATCCGCTCGTAAATGTCAGGCAAGGCAAAGCTCCAATGCAAAAGGTGAGTTGGGGCGCTGTGGCTGGCGTTGACATAGGAAAATAACTCTCAAGCAATACGACAATCGTTGAATAAAATTCTAGGGATGAACAGATACAGTTCTTTTGCTAAGGTTGATAAACAATTCAAGGTTCACGGTGTCTGATCAATGGTCGAACATATTGCAGAAGAAAGACACTTGACAGATATGAGCTCAAAGCTCTTAGGTGCCAACTTATTACTGTGTTCCAGATGTGACAGAAAAAGCCTTCTGCCAGTAATAGCTGGAAGCAGCGAAGGTTAAGTGCCATGGTTCTAAAATTGCCTTTGCAGAGCCCATTGATCAGGTTTCGCGAAGACAAACAGTGAGTGCAACAGTTATTCCTTCGCTCCACAAGGCACTTAAGATCCAAAGAATCTGGGATGGCATAACCGTTCTATTTTATATCGAATGTACCCCTCACGTCGGACCCTGTCAGTCAATACTCATTGGTCCGAGACTGGGGATGACTTCCCCCTCCACGGACATATTCTTTCGACAAAATTTCGCTATGGATGCCGCACGCATGCAACCTATTTTTGTTACTTCAGTTGCAAAATATAATTTCCAGGATCAGGGGTAGTATAACCATCGTATCTCATACTGAATATGGCGGCTCATGTTGGACACTGTCGGTTAATACCCATCGGTCCGAGACTAGTGACGACTTTCCCCTCCACAGCCATTCTGTTTCGACAAATTTTCGCTATGGATACCGCACACAGGCAACCTGTCTTTCTCACTGCAGCTATGAAATATAATTTCTCTCATGGCACTCGTGAACACAATTAGTTACATTCAGGGTGTTCCCCAGATATGGCCGGATTAACGAGAAAAATGAATTTCACAGTAGGCGGTATATTAAACAATATCTATACGGCTACCACTGAAATCAATTGTGCATTAAATTGAACAGTCCCTATTGACCATCAGTGATCGGTAAAGCATAAGTGTGATGGAAGGTAATGAAACGTCTAGTTAGTCTGAGTCGAATGCGGCATCCTCCAGCGCCCTCCTCTGCCCGGCAAGTGTTGTAACAGACATCCGGGATACCACTTCTGGCGTCAGGTCCTCGCGATGGCTTTTTCCAAAAACTTTCCTATACAGCAAACGTCAGACATATGAATTATAGGCTAGAACACAGTCCGTACCTGGTCCACCATTCAAGAAGGTCGTTCACCCTACGTTGGGTGACGGGGCCAGGGACGTCCTCAAAAAAGTCCACCACGTGATTCCAGAATGCTTCGTAGTCGAAGTCGCCATCCACCGTACGCCAAGATGAGACGCTGGACAGGGCGAAGCAAACCTGTGACAATATATGTGAGCCGCAGGCTGCAGCTATTCAAGCTTACCTACCTGACAGACTATATATGCTAGAGAGCGAGGGGTGACTTTACGCATGCCGATGATAGAGGCCACACAGGTTTTGACCTTGACGTGGGTTAATTGTCGTCGGGCACGCCGGTGATTCTCTAGGACGTCAGCTCCATTGCCATCTCCATCAGCTTCTTTTGCGGAAGATGGAGATGTAAATATGGCTTTGAAAGCCTGCATTCATAGCAATGAGTATGACTATACACTAAGACAGTGGGCTAACTGACCTGAACTAAAATTTTGGATTTAAAGAGGCCTTGCTCGAGGTTGTCAGCATTAACTTTGTAGCCTTCATACAAAAAGAGAGGCCAAGAATTTTCTGACACGATATAGTCTGACATTCTGTCACGAATGCCAGCCTTCACCCTACCTCAGGATCAGCGTCGTGTAATAGTCAAAGAAGTCTATTACTCACTTGTCATCACCCCAGTCCCATTCAGCAGGGCACAGCAGCTTCCCACAAACGTCATGTATGAAGCCGCGCGACTGCTTGTCGTCAGAGCTAAGTAAACGAGATGGGTGGAAGCCTTCATTGAGCCAGGCAGCGACTAGATCCTTGAGAGTGGAGGTGTCATTGCCACGGGCGGCATCTGCTCCTCTTTTAAGCTATAAGGTTGTCAATGTACAGCACGAAAAGCTTCATAATTGAAATCACTTGCCTTTTTCTTCATGTCTTTGCAGTCATCAATGTCGAGTTCGGCGAACTTCTCGTGCAGCCACGGCAAGACTTGTGCGAGTAAGATATAGCCACGTTGTAAACGATCCTGTCTGAATGGCAGAGTTAAAAGCGCCATAGAATAAGAAGAGATCACCTACTCTCCGGTACTGTCAAGTTCAAGTTCTTGCTCCTCGTACCTGCGATCATTTTTGGCGATCAAATCATCCAAGTTGGTATAAAGAGCGACCATGCGCCGGATTGCCCTGCCTTGAGCCACGTAGTAGGTCGTCTTTCTATGAAAAGCCATGAGAACGATGTTACAACTGACAGTAAGCGAGGTAGTAACTGACGAACCTTTGCTTAGTTCCTCTGTCTTGCTTCATCATTTCTAGTTCCTCTTCTAACACGGCGATGCGACGCTTGGACCTTGCTTCTGCAGAGGTAGGAACTGCCCCAGACTGGTCTGCAAGTGCGAGAGCATGGGTCTGATGGCGACTGTCGAGCTCTGACTCAGTCATCAAAGTAAGGCGTGGAGGCGAGGCGAGGCTAAAAGAAAGAAAGAGCAATGAGTGATAAGATAATTAACAATGAGCGATGGTAACGATGAAGGACGGTGAAGAGAACTAGGGAGAAGACAGACAAGAAAACCCACCTCGGAACTGTTGGTATATATATGCCCTCGCTAAGTGTTGAGTACATATAGGGCAGTGCCCAATAAGGATGCGATGGGGGGTCCAACTATAATTTGAGTCGTGGCACCCCTCCAAATTTGGCGTCGATGAACTTGAAAGCCTGGTACTACAACTAGCGTACCGCCTAACCTTGAAGTTGGATCCAAAAGCGCTCAGGCTCGAAGTATGCTGAAAAAAAAAGTAGTACTCACTTCAAAAAAACGAATGGCGGTGCATGAGTAAACATGACGTTGATTAGGGCCGAAATCTAGCCTGATTCGAGGGTTGCCAACTGGTGCATTCAATAAAATCGAGCAAGGGCTAATGGAGTTGGCAGAAGGAAAAAATGACAGCTGATATTTGAGGTCAACGAGAGGTCGGCTCATAGTGTGAGGGATAGCCTGAGTACGTACATGGCGGATCTGAACTTGATTCGAACATCTGCCATGTAGTCGGGAAGACGATGAACTTGAACGAGCTGGTTGAGAAAGGTTAGCGGATGTGGTTTAGATAAACGCGTCGCACCCTACCAGTTTCTACGCTATGCTCGAGTAGCCTGTCACAGGGTATGATTATGAAGACCTTGGACAGGAAAGAATAGATATAAAAGCCATACCTGAGTTACACAAAGGTTCGATAACTGGTCTGGTGGCACGCGCAGCAACTTGGTATCTGTCTGTCAGTCGAGCGAGAAGGCGTGTTGCATATTTTTTTTGTGAGCCAGTGACGTGCTTATGACTCTCAGTCATTGTATGATAATAACTATCGAACATGGTAAACAGCACGGCGAGAGCCGTATGCTAAAAAATAGAACTCGTGACTGTGACCATGGCACATTCGAAAATTAAATAAATGATATAAAATTAATTCGAGGAGGGAAAGAAGCAGCTTACTACATAAGCTTGCCTGGAATAGTTTATTGACAACTTTAGTTACATATCTTGAGCTGATGGGCCAGGAGCTTCGCGGTGCATTTATGAATACCTGTACAATGGCAAAAAGACAGTTGTGGTCTCCCGCGTTGCTTATATACAGTGGTGGTATGCTAAGTGTCGGTGGAGGTGATGCGCAGCTAATGACGGACGTTCATATTTTTTGATCGAGACAAGTCACAGGGTAAGCACCCCATACACTACGACCTAAACAGCCCCGGGCCATCACACGCCGCATAAACCATTTCAACCATCCACCTCATCAACGCCTCGTCTTTCATCCTCACGTCCTCCATCATCTTAACGCCCACAAACGCCCGTCGACCCCTCCGTTCGCCCTCCAGCTCGCCCCCAATGTCTTCCACCACATCGTCGCCCTCGTCGTCTTCTACAGCACCAGGGAACTCAAAGTGTTCGCCTGTCCACACGGAGGGCAGTCTCCGAGGTAGCGACGAATGATGAGCGGAAGAGAATACGGATGATGACCAACGCGGTAAGTGCAGCCGAAGGAGGATCAGCGACAGGCCGGGTGTAGGATATGTTCGTTTGCCTTAGAGGAGGGGGCTGTCGCTTTGTGGGGTCTGTGAAGGGGTACGATTCTCCATTGGCGGTAATAGTAATTGTATCATCTTGAGAAGGATGTTTTGCGGGTGGTTGGGAGCTTGAGAGATGGGTGAGGAGATGAGGTCGTAGTCGTTGTTTTGATGTCGATGGCAATGGACATGTGGCCCAGAGACATGGTGGCTCGGGGTTCTCGGACGATTTCAAATGTTGAAGGAGGTGGTCGTACAACTCTCCGGGGGCCTCGAATGGCGAAGCTGAACACTGGGAGCGCTCCCACAAGCACTTGAAACGAGGAGCAGCTTCCGTATTTTTACGCCTGTCCACACCACGCACGGCAAAGCGCTGTGGTGGCCCAGGAATGACCATCGCCTGAGCCTGAGGAAAAACGACATTAACATTTTTGATCACGTCTGATGCGACCAGGACGGGATGGCGGTCCGCGAACTTGAAGGTGTAAAGGCATCTTTGTAAAGAGTCCAAAAATCGACTTGAGTGAGCTCTCCATCTGGTGTTGCAATGAACATGATTTTCATCCTGCAAAAATGACTTTATCGTATCATAATACAACCTGCATAACGTGTACTCACCACTCATAACAGGGCTGGGGTTCAGGCATGGAAACCAGGGTCTCAAGCTCCTCTTTGGTCACGGTAAGGTCATGGACGGGGATCACGGCCGTTGTTGCTGGGATAGCGCGAGAGACTGCACTAATATCCACGTTTACGGTCTCTTCTACTTGTTCAGATAGAAGAAAGCTAACAAACACGCGAAGAGTGCTTGGCATGAGAGGATGATGCAGAAAAGCCTTTACCATTGGTGGGTGCGAAAGATGGGCATATAGGTAGTTCAATGAAGCTTCTACCAATGCTCGATCGACAAATAGAGGTAAGTAACGTATGGAGGCAACGAGCGCTGGCGAGTTTGAGTCCAGGCGACGTGTGTGTTGTATGTTAGACAAAAGTTGTGCCAAAAGCTGAGATGATAAGGGAGCGATTCGACGAGTGACCTGCAATTTGCAGCAGAGTAGGGAGGGGGTCTTTCTTGTTCGAAGCAGGATCTGCCAGGATAACGCCCAGGGATATGGCCTGCAGAAGTTCTATGGCGTTGAGAACAAATTCAGCATTCATATCCGTGTCTGGATTAGGTTGGTGAGGCGCTCATTGGGTCAGATTGTGCGTCAAGCAAGCTGGCAGCGAGGGAAGGCAGTGGCAGTAGGCTGGATGGGAGTGCAGCTCTTCCAGTGACTCGTGGATAGGAGATGGGACAATAGTCATGACGCTCGTGCTGCGCAAATCATCGGCAGATGGAACAGGAGGATTAGTTGCCAGTTTGGGGGATTGTAGGCAGGAAGGAGACTCGGGAGGAGACGGCAGCCATTCGCTGGACCGTTTGGGAGAACAAGGTGCACTGAAGTTTATTAGATATCAGTCGAGAATACTGAAACACGAAATAAAAACTCACACAGTAGTGCTAGGAGTTGGTGCCAGAGAAGCACTTGCCCCTGCTGAGGCAACATCTAGCAAATAAATCGAGTCAGCCGAAAATGGGAGCACAGATGCTGAAGATGATGGACCGCATGTACCTTTATCCTTTGTGTTCCTAGCGTGGGCTGGTTGCCCATTTTGTAGGGCCGTCCAACATTTTTCGCGCCAGGCTGGTTCTTGGAACATTTCGGATGCCCACGGCCACGCTTTGGGGGGATGAATGGTTGGTTGGAGTCGTGCCCTTTGTTGCTGACAGTATTACGGTCCTGACGGACTTTGAAAACTAACGCGTCGGGCCGGCGATTTTTTACATCGCCAATGCGTTAGTTTTCAAAGTCCGTCAGGACCGTACACGTTGGACTTCCCATGGTCACAGTCACGGTGCGCTTGCCCAAAGCATGTCGTTGGTCAATCATCATCTAATCATCCCAATCGCCACGCTACTAATGGTCCTTCGCTGGTGAGAATCATCCCCATTGATTTTGCACTTATCAAGTAACACCTCTGTGCCACATAGGTGCACAAAGTGCGATTCGTCGCATCCACCTTGTTAGATGCTGTTCGGAAGGCGGAGACCGCTCCGGTATCCGCTGCCCGTGCTCATGCATTCCTGTGTGCGTTTCACGCGCTTATCGCCGTACCACTATCTCTCTGACACGCTTCTTAGGGGACTTCCTATCTATTCTGTCCGAAATCGAGAGAAATTATCTGTGAGTTGCGGTCATCAGATTTCATACGTGTGAAGTTTGCGGAGCTCATTGCTATGTATCCCAGTTTCGACGATAATCGTGACGGCACATCGAGTGGCGATTTCAATGGTCTATCGACACCCGACCTCGAATATCAAGGTATTATTTTGATTTGACTGAATCCTGACTGTATTTTTGTTGGATTGCTTGAGAACAGGGGAGTTCCATGTTTGGCCTGGCGTGACCACCCTGTGACTCGCAAAGTGGTTTTGGCCTTTGAAATCATTGACCCACGTTCAATTTCTATGCCAGTCATTTGGACGTGATTCATATCGACCTACTTATACGTTGTCGTGCCAATTCGTCATGGACACACATTATGAAGGAAGGAGCAAAGGCGACCCAGTGCAGATCACGGAAGGTTGGACAATCCCTGCAGATTGGCTCCATACGCTGACAGGAGACGCGTCTTCTTTTGGTGCATTGTTGATTGAACCTTGATGGTTACGCAGATGAAGCAGCTGTTTATGACCGTCAGATACGATTATGGGGCCTTGAAGCTCAGCAACGGTGAGTGCACGATCGTCTGCTACACAATGAGCAGACATGACGAGTACTAAACTGGCCATTGGTAGAATGTGCAATGCCACCATCTTGGTTATCCGACTGCGGGGTACCGCGACAGAAGCAATCAAAAACATCGTTTTGGCAGGGATAGGGAAACTTGTCATCTACGACTCAGAAGAAGTTAAGGAGGAGGACTTGGGAGCTGGCTTCTTTTTCAGAGATGAGGATGTGGGGGAAAAGGTACTACAAATTTCAACCCTCGCAGACTTTTTGTGGCTATTTATCGGTTTTTTTCTGATAGAGAGTAGATGCCGCAAAGGCTCGAATAGAGGCACTGAATCCACTTGTTACAGTGCAAGCCCTGAGACATTCAACGCTTCTAGAGCAGGGGTCTTTAGAAGCCCTCATTATGAGTGTTGATTTGGTTTGCGTGACAGGATTGGGACCGCGAAGCCTTGGTAAGTTCAACGATTCTCAGTGTACTCGTTAGTTTAATTGCTCTTTTTAGATCAAGATCAACGACATCTGCCGGCAGTTTGGGAAGTCGTTCTATGCTGGTGGTACTTACATTTGGTTGGCTTGCTCGGTTATGTCTTTTGCGATCTGCTCAAGCATGATTACATTTCTCCGTGAGTGGCCTCTATTCATTGTTCTGGATGACAGCTAGTCTCCATTGGCTGTCAATCTTACTCCATTTGTCGTCTAACATTATTGAGGAAAGTGACCGATCAGGCACACAAAGAAGCACCAAAGAATGTGAAAGCGACTGCATCCTACTCACGGCTGTCGACGACTTTGCAGCTTCGGTGGATAGGTCTGACAAAACGCCAGACAAAGGAACTCAACCCCGCTGTAGTGCATATCATTCTAGGTATGAATCAATATCACGCTCTAGTTCCACACGCACGACCTGATATGCACCTGCTAGCCCTTTGGTAGTATCAACATATCTATGAAGGCAAACTTCCAGATGACATTGACGCAACCTCTGAGCTAGGGCAGGTAGCCAATTCTATCCTCGCTTCGTCAGACGTTAACCGACAAGTTCTGACTTCAGTTCCTCCGGATTTGATTGAGTACGCATTATTAAAGTTACCTGTTTGGGGATAAAAATGACGTATATATTCCAGTGCAATGAGCACATCAGCTGTGCATGAGTTTTCGCCGACATGCGCAGTTGTTGGATCTTGGCGCAGGATATTTTGAAAGCTCTCGCCACTCGAGAAGCGCCGATAGCAAACTTTTTCACGTTCGATGGAAACACAGGTGGTGGATCGGTGTGTAGGATGAGCATGTAGTTGATACTGTTGGGCCATATACGTGATGTTTGTTTGATTATTTGTGATCTATCATCACCACGGCAATATTGTCGACATGTGGCGTTACAATTTCAAAGCAGGCTGGACCTGGCTGGGCATGCGTGTAGCGTGAGAAAGTCAATTCGTCCAGGTTTAGAACCACAGTGTTGACTCAAAGCCACCGTGGGTCAAGGTCACCCTGCGAATATCTTCCTCTTCCTGTTCCCGAGTCGTCGCTCTTCCTCTTAACTCCATGGTTCCCCAGCAATAACGCCGGCCTCCTCCAAGCGCCCAGGAATATTACGCCGTACCATAAAGTCCGCAAGGTTCATCTATGCAGGCCCCGTATAATCAGTCGCGACCCCCAGCAAGGTCTGGTTCTGCAGGCAGCCAGATGCAATCAGGTAGGGGTGCTATCGCACAGGGAGTAGCTAGTGGTCACATTGGCGGGGGGTATGGTCCTTATTCTGTGAGCACTTTACTTTTCACTCTGTTGATCTTGCTGTGAACTTGTTGACGCTTCAAGTACAACCCATCTACATCCCAGAACAACGGCGTTCACAACCCTTCACGATTCAGTGCCCCCGCCTCTGAGGTCTTTTCTGTGACCGGCGAAAATCCCGGCGGTCCACTAGGAGCCTCGTCTACCGTTCCACCATATCTGTGGGACGTCAAGGATCCGGATCTTGATGACGCTCTACACAATCCAGTCAAGGTCAAGTCATACTTATTATAGGCGGAGAGCAGTGAGTGTCACTCATGACCCAAATTCTATTCATACAGTTGCTTTGTAGCGCAGGTATCGGCTACTCAACTGTGAAGCACCTGGCACGTCGTGGTGCTAAGGTGTACATGGCCGCACGCAACCAAAACCTATTCCCCGTTCAATCTTAGATGTCCTTTCCCTACCTTGATGGTCGAGGAAACATTATCCTTTGCCATCAAAACTCGCACGCCTCAGACCCGCTTCACCAATCAGTCAAGGAAACAATTCAATCCCGAATTCTTGGACGTTCTCCTCAGAATCTTCGGCCTTCAACACGCTCGAAAAACTGTCGTTGGTGATGCTGCGATTCACGGTGTGTCGGGTGGAGAGAAGAAGCGTGTTTCCATTGCGGAAGCACTATCTTGCAGAAGCATGATCGGCGCATGGGACAAGTATGCTTTCCTTTTCTCGTGGTAGGCTGTTCTGGCGTTGACTCGGCACTTTTAGCTCCACTCATGGCCTAGATGCTTCGACTGCACTTGAGTTTGTTCTTGTGAGTGCATGTCGCGCGTCTAGATGACCCGCTCATACGAGAAGACCGTCTCTCCGTTTCCTCGTCCGAAGTTAGAGTTCATTTCAGAGTTCATTCTACAATAGCGCTCAGTTGCTTTTTTAGTTGACGGTGATACTGGTAACTAGTTTAGACTGTAGTGCAATGGACTTCGTACAAATTATGTATTAGTCTTTTTTCCTACTTTCTCTTTGTAATCCCGTCTATAATGATATACTCCTAGGCCAACCTGATATTTCACACAAGGCCAACGAGACGAGGTTCTCGATAATGTTTTTGGGCAATACAATGCCCAGACTGAGCTCAGTCACAATATTTCTAACACGTTCGTATGGAAAGACGGCCTGGATGCGAATTTAAACGTTCGATTAGTCTCAGTATGCCTGATGAAAATCGAGGTAACCGTGACATCCGAGTCACGTACACTAATACTAATACAACTACGTTTATCGTGAGTGGGGGTAAGAGTAAGCCAGTGTCCGTGAAGAAGCCGAGACTGCGGAAGTATCGTACATGATTATGGTACAGACGATTCAATCACAAAACGTTGCATAGTGTAGTCAGAAAAACAAAATCGTACGTACTAGAACCCTTTTCAACAATGATCAACGCGATTCTTAACGAGTGCTTCCAGAAGCGGCACCTGCCTTTCTACGCGGCTTAGCGATGCTTCTGCCTCTGGACTTCGCCTTGCGAGGAGAAGGCTGGGAGGTACTCGCAACGGGGCGTGCAACGGAGCATGCAACGGAGCGTGTGCGAGGACGAGTCGCCGGTGGTTGTTGAGTGTCATCCCCGTCCGATGGAGTATACAGGGAGTCGTTGGAGCGTTTGACGCCCACGCTCCACGCCAAATAACGCTGGTAGGCGGTGGTGTCCATCGCGCTTAAGATTCCCGACACGCCGAGGTCCCACTCGATGGGTAGCGTTGGGTTAGCAGCTTGCAGCGCGGAGCAATCCGCGCCGTTATCGATCTCCAGCGTCAGGCTGACCATCGAGTCCCTCATCCGGCGCAGCCCCGCCTCCAGCATGGTGGTGACGGCACCCATGTTTGGTGTGGGTGCCAACGTCTGTGAAGTAAAATGAGCGAAAGAAGCGGTAGATAGATATGAAAACTTACGCCACGCGCCATGAGCAGGGGGTTATTGTCGCGAATGTTGATGGGGGCGCCGTTGGCTCCTTTAACCCAAACGAAGTATTGCACGGAGCCCACCTGACACCAGTTATGATCAGCCACTGTGAGTGGCTGATTAAACTGGCGTGGGGTGGATCTTTGGCGAATGAAGGTTTTCATGGGGAGAGGTTGGAAATCGGCGGCAGCATCTTTAGTGGGCAGGATCTTGGAAGCAGTAGAATCGGGAAGAGGGGACGCGAACGATGCAGACTCGTGTATCAAGACGATGACTGCGAAGTCGACCTCTGGATGAGCCTCTATTTCCGTCTCCATCTTGTCAAAGACGTGTGCCCCATCCTCCGAAAACGCGCACTCCCCAAGCCCAGATATAGCCACATTCTCTGTTGGTCCCTCCACGCGCGTGAGAGTGATAGTCATATCCGGCGTGACGGTTTTGTTGGGGACTTCAAGAGAGTAATTCATATGTATTCTAGGGCGGATTGCCCTGCGATTGTATGGCATATTGGCGATGGCCAAAGTCAGGTGTTCCTTAAGACAATCGAACGGCTCTTCGTGGATAGCGGTGGGCATGTCGATGCTGAGTGTGAGTTCGTTATAGTCGTAAGTAAGCCTTGGACGAATCAAGCACTACTCAAAATGGGTTAGATTGTGATAAGCGCACCTGGGTTTCATCACTAATCGGCCCGACTCCCCTACAACACGTTCAATCGATTTAAAGTCTTCTACTCCCACACCACGGAATTCCTGCAATATTTGGTAAGCAATGTGGCACTGAATCATTGACTCGAGGACTTGCCTGACGACTTTTATCCGCAGTCGGCTCAGTTAGATACCTCAAGACGTCCTCGACCCCTTCGATCACAAAGGTCAATCAGAACGTGACAAAGCGTCTACTTCTGTCACACGTACTGGAGGTGAAAACTTGTCCTTGGAACGGACATTGCATCATGACTGTATCTGCTACAGCATCAAGGGCAACTTCGACTGGTTTCTCCCCTTGCGCCTCCTCTTCCACAGGGAGAGAGGTTTTGACTGATGGCTTTTTGGAAATCTTGCTTGGCGGTGGTAATTTTGATGCCGTTGGTTTATTGGGGATGAGTTTCAGTGCAGGCGACTTGGATGTTTGTACATTGGCGAAGCCCTTTATTTGATGGTGCCTACCTGGGCTAGGCATAACAGGAGTGAAGTAAGGGCTATTGTCTGCTGGAGCTACGAGGGCAGGCATGGTTGGAACTTGTGGTATATGGATGTTTGACACTGAGCACCGGGATTAACTTCCCTGTGTTACTGTGAGGTTACTAGATGGTCCCCAGTTTACGTGGAAGCTACCAGAAGAGATAACAAAATTACAAGTGATAACAATGGTTCCGCATCAGGCAGGAGGGACGGCAAATACCGTCAATTAATAATCACCGTGGGCCAAACAGCAATAAGACTTCTAGCTAGTACTATCATCTCTACAACAGCACATAGAACAGGTTCAGTTGTTATTAGTGCATGAGGAAGTTGCACCAGCAGTCATTCTGGAAATTTCCACTGCTGGAAGTACTAAGTATTCATCTACATGCAGTGGATTTCTGTGTTCTGGTCTACTGATCTGTTATCGTATCGTGTCAGTTCGCGAAGAAAATCTGGACTCAGAGCTTTCTGAAACTCGAAGTAAGAATCTGTTCCCTGAGATTGTGAGTATTGAATGATACCGTATGACTCGGATTTTCCAACCAACTGATCCGATTACCAAACATTTCGCGTCGACGCCACTAGCAGCCCTTAATCATGATGTACTTGTAACATTAAAGCCATGATGCATGCTGGTAAATCCCAAGATGCACTGGCAGTAGTACTAAAGTGAGGACTTCACGAGGTAGTATGATTACTATGTGTAGCGAGCGCCCTGACGCAAGTGCACAAGTTCATAGTACCTTCTTTAAAGAAGACCCGGAAGTGCGGAGTCAGACTCGGCGGAGAAGCGCTGGGATTATTATGTCGCTCTGAGCGTGCCTGCCGCACCACTGGCATTACGGTACTACTAGCAATTAGGGAGCCTATCTACGTGGCAGCGGCTGCGCAAGAGAATCTGTTCTGAATTATATGAAGAGTTTGAGTTAGCAAGTCCAAGTGGGATTGTGGGAACTCAGATAATATGATTGCAATGATCGCTCTGCATGATGCACAATCATTCACCGTGTTCGATTACTAGTACTTGCAGTGTCTATTATTCCAGGACCCTTAAGGGGACTGGTATAACGATTTTTTTTACAATGGTAAACTTTATATCGATCTCACCGGGTTTGGCGGCCCGGTTTTCGCATCCTGATCTGTCATTGATTTGTCAGCTCCTTTTCGCCTGTCGTCGTTCGGTTGTGGTCTCCTGTTCTACCATTAGGATGTCACCGTCTTGCGCGCTTGTATAAACATCTTAATAAGTTGCGATGGCTGCAGCTTCTTCGTCCTCTGTTGTTTCGTCGACGTCGTCTTTCCTGGTGCCTCCCGTTTCTTTGGTGGTGTCGGATCAGGAGCTTCTTGATGATGATTCACTCATGGTGTCATCGTGCGTTTTACGCAAGTTTTTCGAGTTTTATGAGGTCTCTCGAGTCTGATGAGCTTTTCGTGATCAGTATCCAGCTGGCCGTTTTTTTGCCCGTCACTGCTCCTACTCTGAGGCACGTCATCGACAATTTTCCTTACATGAGTCGTGGTCACTATGCTACTATTGCTGGTGCACACTTCGTTAGTATTCGGACCTCTGATCGTAAGGATCATTTACGCGACTTGTTAAGAGTCCATGTGTGTGACGCTCGGTGTGTCAACAATCTTGTTGTATTTCAGCTTTTGAAGACGCCTCGGCGATACTTCGCACATGAGATGATGCCTGACCCATTTTCAGTTCTTTTTAAGCCAGCAAGTCGTAATCGAGCCACTCGGTCCAAACACATCGTGACGACTGATGGTGAGACACCTCAAGCCAAGCAGCGGCGTCAAACTTGTGTAACCCACGATGCTCCTGATGATTGCGATGGTGCCTTTCCGATCCTGCTGTCTTTTGACGACAAAAAAAGCATCATAGCTGAATGGCAACAACGAATGAGCCAGACGTCACTCCGAAGGAGTCCATGTGCATGTTGTGCTCACAATGTTCCGGCAACGGAATTGGTGCTTGTTGATATTCAGAAGGTGCCGCTGCATTTACTTCGCAATGACTGTCTACCCGAGCACACTCTGCCGCAAACCTATGCTTTTGAATTGTATGAGCGAGCTATATTGTATCCCAAGGGGTTACAAGATCTATGGGCTAAATCGGACATATACTTGTGTCGCACTTGCCGCTCAGCTTTGGTGTCTAAGTCACCGCGGCAGCCTGTCAATTCTCTAGCCAACTTTCAATATTACGCTCATGAACGTTTACCACCATTGATCCGTTCAGCATTCTTGGAAGCCTCTGTTTATGATCTGATGTTGGTTTCTCGAGCCCGTGCATCTCAAATTGTCCACCATTATGCATACAAACCGTCATCTGGATCCCATTGGACTGCCGAGGAGGCCTCACAGCGATATAACAAAGGAAATGTCGCCGTGCGAGCGCAAGATTCCACTGAATTGCGAATATTGTTGCTGCCCAGTCCTGATGAGTTGCATGATGCAATGTGTGTTATTTTTGTTGGTCACAAGCAGGTGCCTACCAGAGAAACAATCAAGTCATTGTGACCCGTGATGGTAACTAAGAGTCGTGTGCGCCAGCTCATTCATTTTTTGCTGGAGCATAATCCTTGGTATCAACACAGTGGTGTGTGTTATAGTCCTGAAAACATGGATTCCTTGTTTGATGCAGCAGATGGTGATGTTGATCGTGGTGTTCCTCGCGCTCTGCAGATATGCCATCTTCCCGACGATGCTGAGGAAGAGAGCCACATTGATTATTGAGTTTCTGAAACAGATGTTTCACAGTCCAATGATTTTGATAGCAACGATATTGTCATGGAAGCAGTGGGGTATACGAAGGGCGATCATTCTTCTGCAAGCCAGGAGAAATAAATCAGGACTCGACTGCACCATACTGACAGCTCACAATAAGGGTGAAAAACAGAGTGCCAGCCACCAAAGACGAGAACCGGGGATTGTCTTCGACAGCCAACCAGCTCGTATGGAAGTGTTGAACTGAGCAGGAAAGTGGCGAGGCCATGATCTACCATGAGGAAATGAGATCGAATGACAAATAGCGGCTGTAATTAAAACTCAGGGAATAGGAGCACATAGACAACTGAAGTCCTTCAACCAGGACATTCACAAGCGACTTGACCATGAACCATGGAAACGGCTACATCAGTTTACTATGTCCTGAAATCCAAAGGATTATCCTAGAGCATTTGGGACTGTCAGATCTCATTACATTGGCAGAAACTAGGAATGAAAACAAAGAAGGAATCAAGGACTATATTGCAAAACGGCGTGTCAAGTTGTTCAGGAGCTTCGTCGATGATGTCGACGGTCTACTTTCCATGATGGAAGACACTGGATCAGTGGTTTCAGGATCAAGTGCTCTCAGTCTGATACGCCCCGAGGCTGAAGAATTGAGAGCAAGAGACATGGATGTCTACGTCACAGAGGCTTTTGAGGAAGAGGTCCTAAAGCACTTGAAAGAGAAAGAGGGATATGCAGGTGCAGGTGATGTAGTGCTGAAGCAGGAATATAACGACAGCGCAATGGCCAAAATTTTCAAACTCGAGAAAGGAGAGAAAAAAGTGGATGTCATTGTCACTCACTGGACCGCAGCAGTCGTGCCCATACTCCAATTCCACATGACTTCGGTGATGAACTATATCACAGCAGACTCCCTCGTGTGCTTGTACCCGCGGTGGACGACAGAGAAGAAGGGTTTCATCAATCCACGTCTATATCTGGAAGGAAAGAGTACACTGCACACAGTAGAAGGCCTGATGAAATATGTCGGTCGAGGATTCAAGATCAGAGCAGATCCCTTACAGTTGGGTGAACATAACTGCGAGGACAACACTGATAACCAAGGCGGGTATTGCCCACACAAATTGAGGAGCACGGTAGACGACAAAGTGATGCAATGGAACTACAGCCCGACGAAGACCTTGGGGGAGACAACAATAGTGTGCCAAACCATGCCAGTCATGGTGTGGTGCCTCGGAGGATATGAATGCGCAGTCGGAAACAAAGACGAGACAATGTCGATGATGTTTGTATGTGCTTGAAGTGGGCATGACGTTGAACGAGAAAGATGCGAAGAAGCGATTGAAAGTCTGGAAAAAAAAGCTGTGTAAAACAAAGACTGTCTAAACAGATCGTGCTATAATAAAATGTGTGACTTACAAACCTCAGCATGAGTGCAGTAACACCTCACAAGTATGAACAGAGAGCTCAGCGTCAGCACGGGAAGTCATGCGTGCTGGATTGAAAATGGACAAAGATGCGACAACAATGATCGGAGGGCATGGACTGAAATATATAGAAACTGTAGGTCTAATCTACATAAAGGTGGGGTCTGGCTGCTATCTAAAAGTGTACCAGCCGCCTGGCCAGATTCAAGAAGGGTGCTGGGTTGCCCGGAGGGCTGTGATGAATGTATTATATGACAATTAGTACTGCAATGCAACCCAAATTGGGATTGCCGAATGAGGCATAGGCTGTTGATCAATTTGATAGTTCAGAGAAGACTCCGAATAGTACAGGTCACCACTGAGCGCTGACTCAGGCTTCCCTATGACACTGATTAGCTCAGAGAAGACTCCAAATAGTACCAGTCATCGCTGAGCGCTGAAGGCTTCTCTATGACACTGAAACTGAATTGGAGGTAGTACTACGGGTATGGTAACGCTAATCATCCGAGTCGGACTCGGACTCGTCAGGCAGACTTGTACAGACTTCCCAGATATCAGCGTTGTTCAAGTCCCACTCTCTATTTTTCAGTTCCTCCACAACTCTCTCCAGCCTTTCCGCCAACTCTGCTGCGAACTCATCCTCTCGATCCAGCAATGCAAAGGCAAGCAAACTCGGATGCAGAGACCTTAGAGGTGATGGAGGAGGCTGTGGTGGAAGTTCGAAATGTAGGGGTGTTCGTGCGAAGAGCTCTACCAACGGCAACGGCATCAGTAGCGATTGCAATGATTGGTCTGGAAATGGGGGGTGGTTGAGCAATCCATTATCCTCACTCCCGATGTAGTGATGGAAAGAAGCCGTTCCATGGTCAATAACGAATTGCTGGCGTTTCCTACGTTGCTTTTTGGAGCCACTGCGAGACGCATGTTCGATGCCGACTTCAATGAATGTGAGTTCTTTTGGATACTCGTCTTGGTCTCTGCCGTCGTCGCCACTGCCTTGGTGAGATAACACTGTTCAAAATGTTGGATGAGCCACGGTTGCAAGGATGGGTTAACGATGGTGAAGAGACCTACTTTGGGCGAAGGCAGTCTCACTAAGGGCAGTAGTGCTAGTCCAGGGTCAGTACTCGCAATATGCGATGAGCGCGACCACTGTTCCAAAGCTGCAGGACGAAAGATATTTAAACATTAGTAGCAGCCTGAGTATGATATGAATTAGTACACACTCTGTAATACGGCGTGAATATCATTGAGGCGATATGCGGCTGTGTTTTAAAATTTAAAATGATCCGAATCAGCCTCACCTCACTGGGCTCGGTGGAGCTTGGCAGCGTTCTTTCACGCCTCCTGCTCGAGGCACAAGTCTAGGCCGGCACAGACGGGGATGCTGAGGTGCCGAACAGCAACCTCAGGCTGTAGTCCAGCCGAAGTGGTCACGATCACGGTAAGATGCTGGCATACTTCTCCCTGAAGTGGTAGATCTGCGATGGGCTGGCAGTGATCGGGGTTCAAACGCCATCTTCCTGAGTTCAGGTCAAACCCCAATTTGCCCGTGGGCGCAGCATGATGAAGTAAGAAAACCTAAGGGATGTGTGGGACTCTGCGTAAGCGACACCAAGTCTACGGTACTCCGAGTCATTAAACTGTGAACTTGCCTTGAGTTTGGAGTGGTATCGAGATGTGATGATAGCAGCCTCATCTGAAGCACAGGGCTCACAAGTCCAAACCTACTACTAAGCGAGTGCTTCGATTAGTGAATAAGACACAACGCCGACTTTTACAACAGACTAGGCATGGTTTGAGCACGGTTCGAAGATGGGCGGTTGAACTTTCAGGCTGTTCGAGTCGCTGGATCGTTAGCCTCAGGCTACCGTGACTGGTAATGAGGTTGGAGGTACACATGAGGTACCAGTGAGAGTGCGGCCAATGCAGGATGGCTAGTAAAGGATCGCAGGTAAATATGAGAACCAATTTAAGTATCAAAAACCTGTGGACCTACCTCCTATGATTATGTTAGCGGATGCTACCAAGGTCCGGCCTCGGCAAGCCTCAGGGTTTCAATCGCCGCTATATTTACAACGTGCAAATTTCTGGGGCCGTCCAGCCGAGTCCGGCCGGATATCTGCCCAGGCCATCAGGAAAATGTCGGCTTACTTAATCTTACTTATTTCGACCTTTTTACTCCTTTTCCCACTTATTTCAAATGGACTTCCTTGTTTTATTAAAATCAACAACTGCTCCAAACTTGAGCATTCCAATATGTTTGTTGTACTTATTGCAATTTGCAAATATAATGACAATGGCCCAAAGAAGAAAAGAAAAAGTTACAAACACCTCGTACTGCTTGAATCATGCTATCATTAGAAGCAACATCTACATCGCCAACATTCAAGTCATCAAATGCACCATGTGTTGAAGTCTGAAGAACCGAAGGCACCGGGAGACAAATGATGTCGGACCAGGTACGAGCACAGCATTTGTCGACGGCTGAGTTTATTTTATGTTTCACATTCATATGATAGTCCTCTTCCTATTCTTTCCGTCCTATGTTAAAAGGACGAGTCTTTGCGTCCAAACATCTCAGTTTCTTCCAAGACACTGAGATGTAAGCCTTACATTTACTTTCACTTATGACACGAGCTAAAACGTACCCATAGAATATATTCTTTGTTAGGTACATACATACACTGTCTACAAGTTTCTTCCAAGACACTGAGATAATATATTCTTTGTTAGCTCATTGCTCCCACTCAAGTCCCTCTGATCGCTAAAGGTTATGAGCCCTGCTTCTACCATGGATAGCATGCTCCCCAGTACAAACTCTGTGCTCTTTAACATCCCCAAGTTGGCCGAAGACAGGTCAAATTGGGTTACCTATAAGGAGAGGACATTAACGGTGTTGGGTGCTAGAGGTCTGATGTGCTATACTGATGGTAGAGCCCTAAAACCGATCCCATTCGCGATTGATGAGAAGACGAAGGCCATTACAAAGCCGGATGGCTCGACGCCTTTGCAGACCGAGATCAAGGAGCATGACAAAAAGCTTGACGAGTTCTACCAAAAGGACTCACTCATCAGGCAACAAATATTCAGCACCATCACAGATAGGCTGCTGCTGTGCATCCAAAAATTGGATCGCACGTCTAGTATCTGGGACGAGATGTCTTATCCACGAAGGAAAGAAGGAATTAGTCCAGGTCGACCTATGAAGACGCCTACAAGACTTACACTGCGATGAGAGTGGCAACGTCAAGGCGCATTTCGCCAAGCTCTTGAGGCTGCGCGAGTCCTTGGCCGGGATGGGATCCTCCATCAAAGATCGCGACTTTCACATGATTCTCTTAGGCTCCTTGCCAGAGTCATATAGACCCATCCTGTCCTCTATTAACACTGCAGCCCGAATAACGCAGACACCACTCACCTCAAATGAACTCATGACCATGATCAGTGAGGAATATGAGCACCATCAGTTGATGGATAAACATGGGTCCATGAAAGGTGGAAATTCGGCTCTTGTGGCCAAGTCTGGTCCTGAGAGGAGTAGGAAGGCCGGAGGCACGAGAAAAGAGAACACCAACGTTACCTGCTTCAATTGTGAGTGAAAAGGCCAATATAAATTGGACTGTTGGAGGCCAGGAGGTGATAAGGAAGGCCAAGGGTTGAAGCAACACCAGAGGAGGTCTGGACGCACTCCAAGAGAGGGAGCTAACACAGCCAATTTCTCCGAGCCTCACAGTGTGAGCAACTACACTCCTTGTCTCTGTTGTTGATTTAGCCTCTGACCCTCCTTGTCTTCTCCTCTTTGCCAACAGTCACTCTTCCAGCGACCCTTGTGGTCGCAGTTCATACAGACTGCATCGGGGTTGGACTGTGAGGCTGAGCTCTGAGAGCTCCTGCTTCTCCCCAGGTTCATTCTTGCAGAGAGCACACTGTTTGTTCCCCTTTTGTTGGGATGTCTATCAGTGAGTAACCAATGTTTGTATTCCTTAGTGATGATCATGATGAGTTCATAGGGCAATAGGGGAGTCTTCATTATTTTGGTGGCTGCATTCATAGATGATAGTAGAGGTCGGTAGGATTCAGGTAAGGACCCTATAATGATAGCATGGAAGTCCATATCGACGACGGTGATCCCCATTCCAGCTAAGGACTCCCACAGGTGTTTCTTGGATCCCCATGTTATAGCACCTCCACTCGACAAGAAGACATATCCCGAAACTGATGTTTGATCATCATTATTGGTGAAGCTTGCATCAGAATATCCGACGAAATGTTCTTTGTCATCTCTCGGGACATTTGCCTTGTAAGTTATACCTAGGTCCTTTGTCCCTTTGAGATAATGCAAAATTTGTTTCACCGCAGTCCAGTGTGTCATGTCAGGATTAGCCGTATATGACGCGAGCCTGTACACTGCATATGCAATGTCCAGTCTTGTCGCAACAGCTGCATACATTAGCGACCCTATAAGCGAAGCATATTTGTTGCTTCGGTCTCCTTTGTTGGTTGATTGAATGATGGGTTTGAGTTTCATAGATGGATCGAGCGGCATTCCCACTGAGTTTGTATTTAGAAGTCCATGTTTTGCCAGGATCGACTCAATATATTTGGTCTGAGAAATCATGAGTGTGCCATTTTCACGGTCTCTCATGATCTCTATCCTGACTATTTTGTGCGGCTCTCCTAGATCAGTGGTTTTGAACATGTTCTGAAGCTCTCGCTTCAGTTCATCCATCAATTTTCTGTCGCTCGTGAATATTAGTAAGTTGTCTACCCATACAGTTATGATCTCAGTTCCCCCTTTCATTTTGTGAATGTATGCACATGGATCTGAGTATAGCGGCTTGAAGTCTTTTGCCTCAAGCTGCTTATTTAACTTGGTATTCCATTCGCGTCCTGACTGTTTTAACCCATATAGTGTCTTTATTAGACGGCACAGCTAGTGTTTTAAAGTCTGGTCGTCAGACCGAAAAAAACTGGCAACTGAACCAGACCACTGACGGTTGCAACCGGACTGAGGTTGTGGTTGCCTTATATTTTACTAAACTTTGGTCTCGGTTGCCTGACATTGATCAGAAATTCAAGACCAATAAAAATTGGTTGTGACTGGTCACAAGTGAAACCGGTTGCACGATGATACAATGAACTTCTGATTCTAAGACATGTAAGGAAAGCAAACTATGTAGTGACCATCTTGTGATTCTCGTCCTCAGATTGATCCCACTCAACGAAATCCTTGTCGAGGGTCAGCAGCTCTTTGAATTCCTCCAGCGATACTTCCTGTGTAGCGGAAGAGTTGGAAGCAGCCCTATCTGCAATGGAATCTTACCATGTATGCTTGAGGATCTGGAGTTGCCCGAATTTGTCTGCGCCAAGTTTTGAGTGGCGATCTGTTGCAATCTCTGCGCCCGCTGAAAACGATCGTTCACATGGGACTGAAGATGCCAGTATGGCACAAATGTCCATCACAATTCTTGCAAGGGTAGGATAGATAGATGAATGTCTCTGTGTGATATGAGATAAAAAGTATGTTGGAACATATTAGATAGACTCACCGCCCACCACTGAACAATGTCTGTCTCTTTACTAACATTGTCTGGCATATCCTTGAGGTAACGACGAAGCTCAGCTGCCCATCCAGTGTTGTGCTCGTGGACCGCCTGCTGAACTAACATGTGGCGATGGCGATCGTATTCGGACTCCATGGTTTCGACAGTCGACACTGTTGAGTTGTCGTCAATGGTGTTGGCAGTGGCACATCCTGAGTCTACAAGTGCTTTATGCGTGGTCCAATACTCCTCCATAGTTGTTTCAACTACCTTGAGTGCTTCGCCGTGCCAATTCTTGGCATTTGGATTGCCGGTGGCTCGTTCCTTTGCCTGTTCTTCAGGCCCGCCCCATGCCATAGCGATATACGCGAGTTTGTAGTATGGGTGTAGTACTGCACATTTAATTAGTCAAAAATACAATGAAATATGATAGACGTACCAAGCGCAAGAATGTAGACTGGTTTGTCGTCAAATTTGCCATAATAATTTCCAATCTTCGTGAGACCCCGCTCAATAGCCTCCTTGTACAGCGTGAACTGCAAATTCTCACTCTTCAATTCCCAAGCTGTCTGTAGCTCCTCCATAGCAAATATTGCACGCCATAGTGTTGGTTGTTGTTCGGAGGAGAAGTATTGTTGAATATCATTAGCATCCTAAAAATGTCAGTCAAAATTGCCGATGAGAGACTAGTCATGACTTACTGAGATTATGATTCGTGTATTGTTCATGCGCTCCCAGTCTGATGTCTTGAGTGCAAACGCAGTCCATGGGATGTGCTTTGTGACCCATCCATGGCATCGAATGGATGTGATTGGCCCAAAAAGTTCATCAGCGGAGGAGACGAAGAGATTGATGGCCTGTCGTAGGCAATAGGCGCATCCGAGCATCCCATGAGCCATTCCCCAGTGTACATTACTGTGTAGGGGAATTTTCAGTGGTATTGGGATCCCACACTTGACTTGCAAGGTCTCAAAGTACTCGATACGTTGACCTGAGGACTGAATCTGTAAAGATATGTTAGATGATAGAACTTATGGGCAGCAGTGAAAATGTACCTTAATGGCAAGTGTACGCACCGCAGCTACAACATCAAGTGAGTCTCTGAGAACGTGGTTATTAGGGAGCAATGGGTCAAACTCCCATATTGCGGTTGTGGTCTCAATGTTGGCGATGTGTGTGATAACCGACATAATGTCAGTGACGGCGAGGCTGACCATGTGGGCAAGACAAGGAAGACACTGTCGAGTGGCATTGAAGTTGTATATGTGGCGGCGGTGAAGCAGTGACTTGATGATGTCGCAAGTGGTGTCGTTGTTGCTAGTATTGTCGGCAGTAATACAGAAAAGCTATTGTAGAACTCAGCACACAGAAATTGAGACGTGGATGGTAGACATACCTTGCTTGATTGCCCATTGGTAATTCCTGCACGCTCATACAATCTAAAAAGATAGCGTGCAAGGTTGTGCCCACTATGCGCTCCAGATATACCTCTGAAAGCGGTGACCTGTGAAAAAAGTGTCCATATACTGGAGGCATTAGCCTCGATCCAGTGAGCCGTTAAGCCTAGAAATGCGGCCTTCGTCTGATCAACAGACCACAAGTCTGTAGTCGTTGAAATAAGGCCGGTTGTAGTAGCCTGTAAATATTTTGTAAGATATATCAGAGGAATATGGAGCAGTACTAGTACTCACCTGCATTTGGACCTTGAGACCCTTGATGAATTCAATGAATGCCTTGTGGATGTAAGCTGACACATCATGAGTTGAAGGTATGTCTGCCAGTATAGCATTTGGCCACATTGCCACCAAACAATTTTCAAATGCAGGTTTGTCGGCCACTACAAGGCTCTGCATGACAACATTGTTTCAGAATTTTCCGAATCTCATGGATCATCGATATCATCACTCACCTGATCGTTGCAGACCACAAATTCAGCAACTGTGCGTAGCACATCCTCCCTTGAGTACTCTTTGTTTTGCGACTTCTGGAACATCTGGCCTAGATCTTGTTGGATGTCCTTTGCTTGTTTCTTCCTATTCGCTTGCAGCTTCACTATATCACGCGGTATCACATGGTGATTTTCCTTCAGGCCCAGTTCTTTACATTTACTCTTTTATACCTCATAATGACTTCGGATGTGTTGCTGACACAAAGAATTACTTCCGACGTGGAATGCCTTGCGTTTTCCATGCTTTGCGACAAAATCCTTATCATCTCTACAGGCGCAATGTAAGTACTCAATATTAGTATTCAATCTGATCTACTGACTTGCATACATTGCACCAGCGCCCCTTCGATGTTTCTACATTTCCATTAGTCTGGCAAAACTTCACCGTACAACGATCTGAGAACACAGTGAGTAAATCAGTTGTACTCTGTTTGTTCGTTTTCAGCACATCGGGTAGAGGAGTGTGGTGCTGTTCCTGTAAGCCATTGCTCTCCTGCTATCCGGTGATGTTGAGCTGACGTCCAATACAGATGACAATGAAACAAGTCGCAATTACCTCTTCATCTTCAGCATCCTCAACAAAGGGCTCAATTTCTTCTTCTTCACTGGCCTCGCTCTCGTGGACAACCTCATCAATCGTGTTTCGACGTGCATGCTTAGATTTTGAAGGAGCTGGAGGTTTCTTTTTCGAAGTACGTTTTGGTTCAGTCTCACTCTCGCTGGTTTCTGATTCGCTGTTGCTCAATACAGCTTTCCATTTGCGATTCTTCCCTTTTGGTGACACTTGCTTCGTCTTTGAAGGCTATGAGTGCTTGGCTTTGGCAGATGCCATTGCAATAACCTTTTCCGTGGGTCGTCACACACAAGTTGACTTCATGGTCAGGCTGAAGAGAAGATCGAGGCAGTGGGGAGATGCAAAGTACTGATTAGTTGGTAGTGTCTTACAGAATCATTCAAATATAACAACATGTAGAGCACATTCCTCTACTATGATGAAGTCTAGACCAGTTACAACCAGTCCTGGACTGGTTTTTGAAAGACCGGTTGCAACCTACTGCAGTGTGGTCCAGCAACTGAAGGCAACCGGTTTTTCAGAGTTCGGTCCAGTCTTTTGGAACTACAGTTAAAATTAGGACTGGTCCAGGTCCGGTTGTGCCAAAAATGGCCAAAAAAACTGGACTGGACCGGACTTTAAAACACTAGGCACAGCCTTTTGGTTTCATCTTCGAACCCTTCAGGCTGTTTCATGTACACTTCTTCCTTAAGGATTCCATTGAGGTAAGCACCCTTTACGTCCATTTGTTGAATCTCCCAGTTCTGAGATACAGCTAGTGCTAAAACTGCTCGTATTGTCTCGAGTCGGACCACTGGAGAAAATGTGTCCATGTAATCCATACCAGGAATTTGGGAGTACCCTTTTGCTACAAGTCGCGCCTTATATTTTACTAATCTTCCTTCTTTGTCAAATTTTCGTACTAGAACCCACTTGTTGGCTACTGGAACCCGTCCCTTTGGGGGATCGACAAGTTTCCACATGCCTTTTTCTTATAATTGGTCTAGTTCGGCATGAACGGCTTTCTCCCATTCTGGCCACTTGGAACATTCCTTTGCTTCTTTTAAGGACTTCGGATCTTCTGGTGCGACACCAGTCTTGTTAAAAGCAGCATACACCACTTCTGCTGGTGAGTATATCAGCTCTTTCTCGTCTTGATCTTCTTCTGCGAGGGCTGCTAATTTAGCTGGTATATCTTCTAGCTCTATTGTTGGATCATTTAATATCTGATAATCATGTTTGACCTTTTGTCTGCTGCTTCTTCTTGGCTCATCAGGTACATCATTTTCTCTCTTTCTTTTTCCGCTAATTTCTTTCTTTGACGTTAGATTGTCTACGTCTTTCATTGCGGATGCTGCATTAATGTGCAGCGGGTCTTGTACTCTATCCTTCTCTCCCTCATGCTGTACATTAGGCATGAAGAACTGATAGTTTCTTGATACTTTTATTCAGTGTGTGTTTCTGTCATAGTACTTGATTGCCTTTGGCCCATCTAAAAAGCCCACAAATATGTGTTCTTCTGATTTTGGTTCGAGTTTGGAGATGTTTTCTCCTTCTCAAAGGACCCATACTGATATTCCAAATTCTTGTAGATGTGATATGTTTGGACATTTCCCCGACCATTTTTCATCTGGGGTAGTTCCCTGTAGAGCACATGTATGTGCTTGATTTCAGAGATATGCAGAGTGAGTCACTGCCTCAGGCCATAATGTTTTTGGCAAATTTCATGCTAATAACATTGCACATGTTAGTTCTACGAGTGTTCTATTGAATCGCTTGGCTACACCATTTCATTCGGGGGAATATGGTGCTGTGAATTCAACTATAATTCCTGTCTGGTGGCACCATCTGAGTAAAGTATTATTGACATACTCTTTGCCATTGTCTGCTCTGATTCTTTTCGGGATTGTTTCCCATTGTCTTTCTATATAGGAAATATATTCCTGAACCTTCGAGCTGGCCTCATCTTTTGTTTTCGTGAATTTGACTGTGCACCTTCATGTACAGTCATCAATGAACGTGATATAATATATAACCCCTGTTATTGCAGTGGTTTGTGATGGTCCCCACACGTCAGTGTGTGTTATCTCTCCTGGAACCACTGATCTATTTCCAGATTCCTTGGGGAATGGTTGTCTCGAATGTTTTGCTTGTATACAAGCCTCACACTCTGGTATTGGCAAGTTTTCATCAACTTCAAGACCATCAACTAGTTCATCTTTGAGTAAGTGTTTGAGTCCCGTTATGCCTATATGGCCATATCTGATGTGCCATTGCTCCCATGTTGTTTTGTCTTTAGCTGTATTTATTTGTTCATTGTAGTTCTTGGAAAACATGTCCAAGAAGTACAGTCTATTCTCTTGTCGACTGGTGGCTATAGTACAGTGTTTTTCATCGAGCAAACTAATTTGCCCTTTTCTGATTATAGCTCTTCCACCTTGTTTGTCGAGCCGACTTATAGAGAGTAGGTTATTTCCTGCTGTTGGTACATGTAAAACATCTCTCAACAATATATGAACAGCTTTGTTTCCGACTTTTGTCGTGATCTCAACTGTTCCACGTCCTATTGCTTCAACTGGTACTTTTCCTGTTCCGCTAATTTCTTTTTGTAATGGAGTGTACTCAGTGAAGGCAGTTCTTTTGTTCGTTATATGAGATGTAGGTTGCCAAGCTGGCTACCCACTGGCCTAGAGCAAAAGGAAACATGCTTGTCAGAGCCTTCATTCATGGATACATTCTTGGAGACTACAAATGCTTTGTCCTCGTCCATAGGTTCATCATCCTGCTCGTCGTGTGCCATGTTTGCACGCTCTTTTCCTTTATACTTCTTCAAAGATGGACCTGGACCATCTTTTCCCCAGCAGTCCTTGGTTTCGTGCCTGAACTTCCTGCAGGAGCTACATTTTGGCATGTTCTTGAACCAGCACTTATCTGTAGGATGATTATTACTGTCCACAGATGTTACACTTCACTCAGTTCTTTGGACCTTCATCTTTCTTTTCAACCTTTCGCTTTTTGCCCCCTTTTTCAGCTTTGGCATAATACCCCTTTTCTTGGGTATCATGGCTCTTGCGATGGTTGGATTCATCAATGATGATTGAGATAAGTTCCTGGGATGTATAGCCTGCAATTTTTTGTGACTTGCCCTTATCGGCATGTGTGCCTAAGTAGGACACAGTCCATGACTCCCAAGACTTCAGCAACGACATCACAAGAAGTGCTTTGAACTCCGCATCAGGTATCTCGCATCCCATGATGTTGAGCTGATTGTGTTTGTTCATCATCTCGGTGACGTGTATCTTTATATTGCAGCCTTCATCGGCTTGCAATGAATAGAAGGTGTGTTTCGCAATTAGCGCACTCGACTGACTCTTGTCTCATGAATCATCTTCAGATTATCCCATGCTTCTTTGACTGTCTTCGCTCGTGACACATGAACTACTTGTTCATCCTTCAAATTGATAAGGATGATGGTCCAAGCAATTTGGTCATCTTTCTCCCACTGTTTTTTCTCATTAGGATCTGTGGGTCTTTTACAGGTCCCATCTTTATGACCATGGACTTTGTGGACTCAGAGGACCATTTCAATCTTCTCCTTCCACATCATCCAGTTGTCATCTTTAAGCTCTCCCATTCTATAGGATGAGACTGATCCTAAGTTCATATGTGGGGAAGTCTGGGAAGACTGAGATGTCTGGACATTAGGATTGGCATTTGGGTCAGTCATTTTGATTATAGATATGTATGTATTTGCGTAGCGTAAATTGATTGTTCTTTTTGAGGTTTGTTATATGATTAAGCAGGGCTCATAACCTTTCAGGATTATGAGCATTACATGAATAGGGTGTTCAGAGCGGTCTAATTATTTTCGAAAAATTCCGGCAGTTATCTATATACTTGAACTACTCACCACATTACTTAAGCTCCAACTTTCTTCTCCGCTAGTCTTTAGCTGACGTGTCCTCAGGATGGTACATGGACGGCTCGTATGCCTCAACAGGGTGAGATGGTCAGTGGCTTCTTCGTGACATGCGCCACCCTAGGCTTTGATTCCAAGTTGAATGTGTAGATATGCCTGATGTACGAATTGTAAAAATGAGTGTTGATACCAAGTATAGATGATACTTACTTGTACAATGACATGTGAGGGTGTCGGCATCTGGACAACAACAACCTTGGGCAAGGTTGTAAACATGAAAGGTTAGCGGGGACTCTATTATCGTTAGAAGGAAGGAGCCTGGACCAGCGATCACACCCCACCAGAAATTTGAGGGACACACCCATTCAGTCGAGGAGGCCATAGATCTGCCAGGTGGAGAATGGATAATGACAAAGTGTGCAAACTCTAGAGAAGATACACTTTTCTGTGCGGTAACTCTCTGCTGGACTCAATACATTGATTTTCGAAAGAAAAACTAGCAGATGTTGTACTTTCGATGTCACACTGTCGAACTGTCAAAGAATTGATTTTATTTATTTGTGCAATTTGGAGTAATGAACATTTTGCCAAAAATGCGTGGACTAAGTACTTGTCACATGATGTTCGTCGGTATCGGCATTTTGAAATGCCGAATTCTGCTCCGATCAAATATCGGATTAAATATGTACCGCATTAAGTCCTACACTTTCAACTTACACGAGGAACTTCGTCAGAATGCCATTGTCATCATCATCGTCATCCCCGCCGGTGCCATCGTCGCCTACGTTATCATCCTATTCTGTCGACAGTGTCTGGAGAGGCCCAATCGAATTGCCTTCGAATTTTCCGAACATACAAGCTGATGAGCTCAGACGAGAGAAGCAGTCATACGTGGTATGAATATCTTTTCATTTTTTTATCTTACCGCGAGCACTAAATTAGTGCAAGATGACGCTCGACGGAATAGACGTCGAAGATGACGAGCAAGATAGCTTGTTCACGAAATTCAGTATCGATATGGTGTATTCAAGCTACCTTGCGTCACGGTATTGAGTGCGACAGTACACTCACCTTCTAATGCTCCTGAAGCGCGAGGAAGAAGCTTGGGCACAGAGAGTCAAGAGCGCAAGCCGTCTGATGCCGGAATACGTACCGCCCATGGTATGGAGTACTTAATGTAGGAGTGATTGAAGAAAGATGTTTCGTTACGCACTGTTCTGAATTGTTTCTCGTGTTCTTTCGTTTGCTCATCCCATCCTTGTATCCAACTGAGCTTAGTCCGCTTTTGTTATCGTAGTATGAATACGATCCTGCTGCCCACTACTGTATCATCACTATTAAGTACCTACCAGTTCGTGCATCTTGTGTTTCCGAGACGTGTATCCTCAATAACCACACATTTTCTGGCACATTCTGCATAAAGCGTAAACTGAAACTACAGTACCAATCTGGCAATGCCTTGTGAGGCGGACATGTGATTATTGGTTGTATCATGAACTTTCCCTATGGGAAAAAATTGGAGGCGCCATATTGGCCATTGGTTCACCAGTCAGGGATGAACTGCGCTCGACTTCCGAAGGTAGCATTCGTGGAAGAGGCTGATCGTGATGCGTTCGGGTTTCTGGATCCTAGCCAGGTGATACGAAGTGCGCATTTAATTCCGGCATTTAATTCCGGGCGTGGTACCACCTCCCTTCGCCATGGAGAGACATTTGCACGTCAGTGCAATGATGTAGTAGATGACTGGGAAGCTTACTACGTCGGCATGTAAGTGTATTCATGTGTTTCACCATCCGTACTCAAATTGAGGATAACTTAGATTCGTTGATCGTGATATGTTCGTACGTTACACGCACTACGGAATTGGGCATCCCAAGGTCGTGCGTGAGATGGCGAGAGATTGTGCCAATTTGGATCTCATTGATAACCCAGACTCAGAGGAAGATGAAGACAGGGACCGGGACCAGGAAAGTATTCATTCCTGCGAGGTTGATGGTAGAGATGAAGCTGATGACGAAGGAGATCACGAGGACGTGATCGAGTACGATGACGATGAGCAGTTGGGCGACAACTATCCGGATGATTCAGACTGGGAGACTGACGATGTTGAGTTTGAGGAAGATGAGCATCTGTCTTTCTAAATAGTTCAGTTGGTATTACCGTTCGACCCTTATTTTCACCCTACTTTCTTCCTGTGCTGATTAATCATCATTGCGTCTAGTATCCTTTCATTCTGAGCTGTCAGGCCCTCAGGTTGTTCAGGACAGTGCATCATGACTTGCAACGTTGTTTCAACATGCCACGACATACTAAGTAACTATTGCTAAAATCGTTAACGTTGGAGTCAATATGTCCGACGCGCCCATCTTTATCATGTGCAAGCAGGTGACCGGCTCGAAGTTGATGATTGATACTAATCGATTGTTGGTAGGACGACCGTGACTCACTCGGACACCGTTTTGTAGAATCTAGATTCTTTGATAGCCACTGGTACTACTAGTACGACTTGCCTGGACGCAAATCAACAAGGCAAGGCAGTTCTGTGCGTCCAGGAGCTAGCTACCACTCGTCCTGATGCGAATCCTCTTGCCTGTTGTATTGGAAGAACAAGAATAGTTAGCAACTTTGAGAAAAGTGAACTATCATACCTTGTTTGTTGTGACGGCGCCCGTACCACGAGTTTGTGATAGAATCGAATAGGATTATACAATGGCTGGGCAGTGCCAAAGCCACTTTCCTCGAGAAGGTCGTGGATGGCCTCGGATAACATCTTAATTTAAACGGAAAAAAAACACAGGAAACAACGCTTAGAAGAGTGAACTATCATACCTTGTGTGTTGCGATGGCGCCGTACCACGAGTTCGTGATAGAATCGAATAGGATTATACAATGGCTGGGCAGTGCCAAAGCCACTTTCCTCGAGAAGGTCATGGATGGCCTCGGATAATGTCTTAATTTAAACGAAAAAAAACACAGGAAACAACACTTAGAAGAGTGAACTATCATACCTTGTGTGTTGCGATGGCGCCGTACCGCGAGTTCGTGATAGAATCGGATAGGATTATACATCAGCTGGGCAGTGCCAAAGCCACTTTCCTCGAGAAGGTCGTGGATGGCCTCAGATAACGTCTTAATTTAAACGAAAAAAAAACACAGTAAACAACGCTTAGAAGAGTGAACTATCATACCTTGTGTGTTGCGATGGCGCCGTACCACGAGTTTGTGATAGAATCGGATAGGATTATACATTGGCTGGGCAGTGCCAAAGCCACTTCTCATGAGAATGTCTTGAAAAGAGCCGTAATTCAACATATAGATATGGCAAAACGACAATGCCCACAATAATAGGCACAAGCAAACTATCACCTCTCATCTGCTGCAATGGAGGAATGTGACGATATTGTCGTGGACTGTTCATGCTACTCTACATGTACAGGCATCAATGGCTATGTATTTACAGCTCAGATTTTTCGTAGTATATATGATATTACTTAGCAGGAGCAGAATTGTATCGTTCTACAGTTCGCACGGCTACAATATCAAGGTCTCATCAATTCACTGATGTTTGTTTGCTGTTGGTCTGTGGGGCACCGAAGTTCATGTCATGTATCATTGGCAGATTACATAATTGTCATGCTGACCGTCATCATGATCATTAGTACTACATCAGTGAACTGGTGAACAAATTAGAATGGTATTTAAAGTAATATATTGTTGAGCATCGCAACAATCAGTGTAAATTTGCCGACCGCTTTCACATGGGAATGTTTGGCATTGTCGAGGTATGACCAATTTGCAAGCGCACGGGCCTGGTAGCCCTGTTTGCCTCAAGGACCTTTTTGCTTGGATGGGTCTAAGAAACAACGCTCGAACGCAGGTTCATGCATTTTAATATGGACCTAGTCTTACAAGGGCAAGGAAGGAGGTTGCAGTGTGTGGAAGTGAAAGATATTTGGGTGATGCTCACCCGTGAAGAGGATGGGTGCCTTTTGGTCTTCGCACACTATATTTTTACTCGCTGCGGATAACTACCGAATCCGTGGATAACTTGCTCAGATAAAAAATGTGAGTCACAGTAGACAGTACTTCTCAATGGATAGTTTGTCTGTACGGACTAAATGTTGGATGAGTGTTGCTTTGAGTGGTATATTGTATGGAGTACAGACGGTGTCCTAAGTTGTGTTAGAGTAGGTCTCACTGCACGATGGACGCCGAGTTGCAACGAAATAGAAGTAGCAGAGTCGCGCAAATGAAATGCATGTTTGTAGACCGTCACACAGAACAATACATTATACAGAACGTACATACCGTTCCAGGGTATGTCAGAGTATATATTATTTCTCAATGATTAGACTTCCTAGTCTGTCGCTAAAAATCTATAATTGCCTAGTGGAAACTTTCCGGAACATAATATTGCATCAAATCATACCTTCAGACAAAATCAAAAGTTTACAATGTTGCTTCAGTGCACAGAATTTTCGGTTGCGACCATGGCTGTCGATGATTCAAACTTTGATGTAGCGCTACAAGCATGCGCAGTGGCAGTGCTAAATTGTAATTCGCGCAATATTTTGCGCCTTCACAATGACACTCCTTTCGGCGTGCCAAGCTCAAGACTTCCGAAGATCTGATGAACTACTGAGCTACCTCACTAGTACCTCAGAGTAGCCTGACTATGGTTTTTGAGCGTTAGCTGGTTTTATTCCGAAAATAACCAATTGTAGGTTTTGCTGCAGTGGTACTTAGTTGTCGCAACAGAGACCAGACTATTATCATGAACGGAAACGATAATTTTCTATCAGCCAGAGAAGATAGCCCTGCCCAGGGATTTGAGAATAATGAAAGTCGGCATTGTGCAATCAGGCATCTCAGCTCGGGATTATTTTACCGTGTGCTATCGATAACGCTTCGTTGAATGGACCATCAGCATTCTAAATTAACAGTCTAAGAAGCAGCAGAGTTGTTAGGACTTTAGGCAGTCATTTTCGGATCTCAGAGCATTGACCTTTTCATAAATAATTCAACGTTGTTAGGACAAATAATTATCTTGTGCCATCGCTACAGGACAATCCTAGTCTCACAACTGGCAAATTCTGATCACGCATGTTAAAATTGCCATAGTGTATCAGTGTGTCATGCTTCGTGCTTCGTCGCATATCACACACTATACCATATATCCGAAAATAGAGTTTATCGCACATATAAATCAGAAGGTGTTAAAATCATGATGACATTGATAATCAAGGGTGTATTGTAGAACTGAAATAATGCAGCGGGACAAAGAGGATATGTTAATCATACTAAAGGTGTAGAGTGGGATGAGCAAGCAAAACATCAAGTAACTAGTTGGAGTTGAATGCAGCGTCCTCCATTTGCTGTCTCTGGGAAGCGAGACTGTTGACAGACATGTGAAGAATAACATCCGGTGTTAAGTCCTGACCATGATTTCGTCCGAACACTTTTCTACACAGGAGGTTAGCAATCCAGGTGAGTCACTGATGAGGTCGATGACATACCTGGTCCACCATTTGAGAAGCTTGTTCACCCTTGCTAGCGCAGCTGGACCTGGAGGATCCTCGAAGAAGTCTACAATGTTGTTCCAAAAAAGTTGATAGTTGAAGTCGCCGTCAACAGTGCGCCAGGAAGTGATGTTGGACAGTGCGAATTGGATCTGGATAATTCGATTTCAACTTCATGGTAAGAGAGAAGCATTGATACTCACCTGGCAAGCTGCATATGCGATCGCGCGAGGAGTTACCTTCCTCATACCTATGATGGAGGCAATGCATGTTTTCACTTTAGAGTGATCTGATCGTCTCCGGGCACGTCAGTGATTCTCAATGATATCAATGCCATCGCCATCGCCATCAACTTCATTGGCCGAGGAGGGAGATGTGAAAATGGCTTTGAAGCCCTGCAATGCGATGAACTAAAATTCAGTTAAAAAATCAGGCCGCTGACCATGACTAATAGCTTGGACTTGAAGAGACCACGCTCCAGATTCTTCGCATGGGCTTCATAATTTTCATACATGAACATAGGCCATGAATTTTCAGAAACAATAAAAGCGGTGGTGCGGTCACGAATTCCAGCCCTGACGCTGAATAACATTATCAGTAACATCTAAGTGACGAGGATTATCACTTACACTGGATCCTCCCAGCACCATTCCGCTGGGCAGAGTAGCTTACCGCACGCATCGTTCACGAAACCTCGATGGTGCTTATGGTCTGCTCTTAGAAACGAAGGCGGACGACACTCAATGTTAACCCATGAGGCCACGAGCTCTTTGAGAGTTCCCGTGTCGTCACCACGAGCTGAATCAGCTCCTCGCTTGAGCTACATTGCCAATTAGCACAGAAGCGTGACAAAGATGCTGTGAGAAACCTGTTTGAGCATATCCTCCGACTCTTCGAAATCAAGACTTGCAAGCTTTTCATGGAACCATGGCAATGTCTTACTGAGTTCAATGTAGCCGTGCTGAAGGCGGTTTTGTCTGTTCATCGTTAAGATAAACATGGTACCATGAACATGAATGCTTACTCGATTGTGTGGTCGCCGTCTGAGTCTTCGCAACGCCGGTCATTCTCGGCAACCAGATCTTCTAATGGGCAGTAAAGAACAACCATCCTATGAAGTGCTCGTCCCTGGGAAACATAGTAGGTTGTTTTTCTACAATCGGGAACGTTAAAACTGCTTTGAGATGTCGAGAACGCACACACCTTTGTTTTATCGCTTTCTCCTGCTTCAAATTTTCGACCTCTTCCATGAGGGCAGCAATTTTCCTCTTCGCCCTAGCTTGAGGAGACATTGAGACGCAAAGAGATACCACAGTAGTAGGAGCAGGAAGGTTGCCAGCACAGTTACTCTCAGGCATTGACATACCAGAGATGAAGTAGAAAGAATTGGGAGGATGAGAAGGTTGAGCGTTGAAAGCTTCTGTGAGGTTTTTTATACCCGTCTACGCCGAATGACCTAATGTAAGCTTGAATGCTTTCGTCGGAAATAAGCAGTTGAGTTCTTGCCTTATACGGTACCCACGAAGGGTGCTTCCTGCCGATCTAGAAACACGCGAAATGACAGCGGTGTCTTGACCTTTTTGAGTGGTCCAGTTACGACAAGTCTGATATAACTTAGTGTTGTCGATGACCTAATATAAAGTGAAGAGGTTGAATGAATTGGTCTCAATAGGCAGTGAGACTCTTGCCTTGCTTGGTAGAGTCCAGAAAATGTTGTTCGCGCCCGGTGAAGTAACATATCGGGTCTTGTCAGAAGCCCTTCAGGGTTAATATCAGGATCAATTGAGAGATGATGTTGGGCATGGATGTACCAGTAGATCTTGACTTTGCCGGTGCGTGCAATGAGCTCAGTTTGTAGAACGTGACGTGTAGATGCTACCTTGACGGTGGCAACTACGTTGGTGAAATTCACCGAGGATCTTGCTAGAACTTGAAGGCGGGCACGTGAGCAGGTAGACTAGATGTACTAGATTAGCTAGATGTGATTGAAGTGATGAGATACGTACGTAGTACGGATCATCATCAAAAGAGAGTCTGACCCTTTCTTGGGGCACCAGAGTATTCACCGTAGTCACTAGTTGGCGAGTTCGAATGCGAAACCACTGGCAGCTGCTGCGGCTGCGATGAGATCACTGTAGACGACGGATGCACCACCGCCTGCGACCATTGTCCAGACACGACCGGTGGGGCTGAGGACGGTGAGCTTGAGAGAGGTCGGAAGCATCGAGTTTTTGAATATAGTAGCACAGGAATGAGTATGATGCGACAACTAGTACGCACCTTCAAGTTCTTCCTTGCATGACTCGATCTCCAGGCCATGGGTGTGCCACGGTCAACGTTTACCTTTGAGCCAGTTGCCATTGGTTGCAGCCGGAGCGGTCTCATAGATGGGGAAGAAAGGCAGGTGCCTGCGAGTCTGCGACTGATTCGACCCATGGACTCAGAAACATTGGAGATGTGATGAGATGAAATAAGGACTTACTACTCAGGCTGGCCCAGTCATCCATCATAACACTCCTCTCGGTTTCAAAATTAAATTATTATAATAATCTTGACGATGTAAATCCGTGTCGAGCGCCAATTGATGATCAACGCTCAGCTGACAAGCTAAACACGAAACCTGGGACGGACCGGTCCCAGGTTCGTGTTTAGCTTTGTCAGCTGAGCGTTGATCATCAATTGGCGCTCGACACGGATTTACATCGTCAAGATTATTATAATCAATTTAATTTTGAAACCGAGAGGAGTGTTATGATGGATGACTGGGCCAGCCTGAGTAGTAAGTCCTTATTTCATCTCATCACATCTCCAATGTTTCTGAGTCCATGGGTCGAATCAGTCGCAGACTCGCAGGCACCTGCCTTTCTTCCCCATCTATGAGACCGCTCCGGCTGCAACCAATGGCAACTGGCTCAAAGGTAAACGTTGACCGTGGCACACCCATGGCCTGGAGATCGAGTCATGCAAGGAAGAACTTGAAGGTGCGTACTACTAGTTGTCGCATCATACTCATTCCATGTGCTACTATATTCAAAAACTCGATGCTTCTGACCTCTCTCAAGCTCACCGTCCTCAGCCCCACCGGTCGTGTCTGGACAATGGTCGCAGGCGGTGGTGCATCCGTCGTCTACAGTGATCTCATGCAGCCGCAGCAGCTGCCAGTGGTTTCGCATTTCGAACTCGCCACTAGTGACTACGGTGAATACTCTGGTGCCCAAGAAAGGGTCAGACTCTCTTTTGATGATGATCCGTACTACGTACGTATCTCATCACTTCAATCACATCTAGCTAATTCTAGTACATCTAGTCTACCTGCTCACGTGCCCGCCTTCAAGTTCTAGCAAGATCCTCGGTGAATTTCACCAACGTAGTTGCCACCTTCAAAGGTATCATCTACACGTCACGTTCTACAAACTGAGCTCAATTGCACGCACCGGCAAAGTCAAGATCTACTGGTACATCCATCCCACATCATCTCTCATTGATCCTGATATTAACCCTGAAGGGCTTCTGACAAGACCCGATATGATTACTTCACCGGCGCGAACAACATTTTTCTGGACTACTACCAAGCAAGGCAAGAGTCTCACTGCCTATTTGAGACCAATTCATTCAACCTCTTCACTTATATTAGGTCCTCGACAACACTAAGTTATATCAGAACTTGGTCGTAACTGGACCACTCAAAAAGGTCAAGGACACCGCCTGTCATTTCGCGTGTTTCTAGAATCGGCAGGAAGCACACTTTCTGGGCTACCGTATAAGGCAAGAACTCAACTGCTTATTCAGACGAAAGCATTCAAGCTTACTTAGGTCATTCGGCGTAGACGGGTATAAAAAACCTCACAGAAGCTTTCAACGCTCAACCTTCTCATCCTCCCAATCTTTCTACTTCATCTCTGGTATGTCAATGCCTGAGAGTAACTGTGCTGGCAACCTTCCTGCTCCTACTACTGTGGTATCTCTTTGCGTCTCAATGTCTCCTCAAGCTAGGGCGAAGAGGAAAATTGCTGCCCTCATGGAAGAGGTCGAAAATTTGAAGCAGGAGAAAGCGATAAAACAAGGTGGTTGCGTTCTCGACATCTCAAAGCAGTTTTAACGTTCCCGATTGTAGAAAAACACCTACTATGTTTCCCAGGGACGAGCACTTAGGATGGTTGTTCTTTACTGCCCATTAGAAGATCTGGTTGCGAGAATGACCGGCGTTGCGAAGACTCAGACGGCGACCACACAATCGAGTAAGCATTCATGTTCATGGTACCATGTTTATCTTAACGATGAACAGACAAACCGCCTTCAGCACGGCTACATTGAATCAGTAAGACATTGCCATGGTTCCATGAAAAGCTTGCAAGTCTTGATTTCGAAGAGTCGGAGGATATGCTCAAACAGGTTTCTCCACGCATCTTTGTCACGTCTTCTGTGCTAATTGGCAATGTAGCTCAAGCGAGGAGCTGATTCAGCTCATGGTGACGACACGGGAACTCTCAAAGAGCTCGTGGCCTCATGGGTTAACATTGAGTGTCGTTCCGCCTTCGTTTCTAAGAGCAGACCGATAAGCACCATCGAAGGTTTCGTGAACGATGCGTGTGGTAAGCTACTCTGCCCAGCGGAATGGTGCTGGGAGGATCCAGTGTAAGTGATACTCTCGTCACTTAGATGTTATGATAATGTATTCAGCGTCAGGGCGGAATTCGTGACCCGCTACCACCGCTTTTATTGTTTCCGAAAATTCTTGGCCTATGTTCATGTATGAACATTATTGAAGCCCATGCGAAGAATCTGGAGCGTGGTCTCTTCAAGTTCCAAGCTATTAGTCATGGTCAGCGGCCTGATTTTTTAACTGAATTTTAGTTCATCGCATGCAGGGCTTCAAAGCCATTTTACATCTCCCTCCTCGGCCAATGAAGTTGATGGCGATGGCGATGGCATTGATATCATTGAGAATCACTGACGTGCCCGGAGACGATCAGATCACTCTAAAGTGAAAACATGCATTGCCTCCATCATAGGTATGAGGAAGGGTAACTCCTCGCGCGATCGCATATGCAGCTTGCCAGGTGAGTATCAATGCTTCTCTCTTACCATGAAGTTGAAATCGAATTATCCAGATCCAATTCGCACTGTCCAACATCACTTCCTGGCGCACTGTTGACGGCGACTTCAACTATCAACTTTTTTGGAACAACATTGTAGACTTCTTCGAGGATCCTCCAGGTCCAGCTGCGCTAGCAAGGGTGAACAAGCTTCTCAAATGGTGGACCAGGTATGTCATCGACCTCATCAGTGACTCACCTGGATTGCTAACCTCCTGTGTAGAAAAGTGTTCGGACGAAATCATGGTCAGGACTTAACACCGGATGTTATTCTTCACATGTCTGTCAACAGTCTCGCTTCCCAGAGACAGCAAATGGAGGACGCTGCATTCAACTCCAACTAGTTACTTGATGTTTTGCTTGCTCATCCCACTCTACACCTTTAGTATGATTAACATATCCTCTTTGTCCCGCTGCATTATTTCAGTTCTACAATACACCCTTGATTATCAATGTCATCATGATTTTAACACCTTCTGATTTATATGTTCGATAAACTCTATTTTCGGATATATGGTATAGTGTGTGATATGCGACGAAGCACGAAGCATGACACACTGATACACTATGGCAATTTTAACATGCGTGATCAGAATTTGCCAGTTGTGAGACTAGGATGTCCTGTAGCGATGGCACAAGATAATTATTTGTCCTAACAACGTTGAATTATTTATGAAAGGTCAATGCTCTGAGATCCGAAAATGACTGCCTAAAGTCCTAACAACTCTGCTGCTCTTAGACTGTTAATTTAGAATGCTGATGGTCCATTCAACGAAGCGTTATCGATAGCACACGGTAAATAATCCCGAGCTGAGATGCCTGATTGCACAATGCCGACTTTCATTATTCTCAAATCCCTGGGCAGGGCTATCTTCTCTGGCTGATAGAAAATTATCGTTTCCGTTCATGATAATAGTCTGGTCTCTGTTGCGACAACTAAGTACCACTGCAGCAAAACCTACAATTGGTTATTTTCGGAATAAACCAGCTAACGCTCAAAAACCATAGTCAGGCTACTCTGAGGTACTAGTGAGGTAGCTCAGTAGTTCATCAGATCTTCGGAAGTCTTGAGCTTGGCACGCCGAAAGGAGTGTCATTGTGAAGGCGCAAAATATTGCGCGAATTACAATTTAGCACTGCCACTGCGCATGCTTGTAGCGCTACATCAAAGTTTGAATCATCGACAGCCATGGTCGCAACCGAAAATTCTGTGCACTGAAGCAACATTGTAAACTTTGATTTTGTCTGAAGGTATGATTTGATGCAATATTATGTTCCGGAAAGTTTCCACTAGGCAATTATAGATTTTTAGCGACAGACTAGGAAGTCTAATCATTGAGAAATAATATATACTCTGACATACCCTGGAACGGTATGTACGTTCTGTATAATGTATGTTCTGTGTGACGGTCTACAAACATGCATTTCATTTGCGCGACTCTGCTACTTCTATTTCGTGCAACTCGGCGTCCATCGTGCAGTGAGACCTACTCTAACACAACTTAGGACACCGTCTGTACTCCATACAATATACCACTCAAAGCAACACTCATCCAACATTTAGTCCGTACAGACAAACTATCCATTGAGAAGTACTGTCTACTGTGACTCACATTTTTTATCTGAGCAAGTTATCCACGGATTCGGTAGTTATCCGCAGCGAGTAAAAATATAGTGTGCGAAGACCAAAAGGCACCCATCCTCTTCACGGGTGAGCATCACCCAAATATCTTTCACTTCCACACACTGCAACCTCCTTCCTTGCCCTTGTAAGACTAGGTCCATATTAAAATGCATGAACCTGCGTTTCGAGCGGTGTTTCTTAGACCCATCCAAGCAAAAAGGTCCTTGAGGCAAACAGGGCTACCAGGCCCGTGCGCTTGCAAATTGGTCATACCTCGACAATGCCAACATTCCCATGTGAAAGCGGTCGGCAAATTTACACTGATTGTGGCGATGCTCAACAATATATTACTTTAAATACCATTCTAATTTGTTCACCAGTTCACTGATGTAGTACTAATGATCATGATGACGGTCAGCATGACAATTATGTAATCTGCCAATGATACATGACATGAACTTCGGTGCCCCACAGACCAACAGCAAACAAACATCAGTGAATTGATGAGACCTTGATATTGTAGCCGTGCGAACTGTAGAACGATACAATTCTGCTCCTGCTAAGTAATATCATATATACTACGAAAAATCTGAGCTGTAAATACATAGCCATTGATGCCTGTACATGTAGAGTAGCATGAACAGTCCACGACAATATCGTCACATTCCTCCATTGCAGCAGATGAGAGGTGATAGTTTGCTTGTGCCTATTATTGTGGGCATTGTCGTTTTGCCATATCTATATGTTGAATTACGGCTCTTTTCAAGACATTCTCATGAGAAGTGGCTTTGGCACTGCCCAGCCAATGTATAATCCTATCCGATTCTATCACAAACTCGTGGTACGGCGCCATCGCAACACACAAGGTATGATAGTTCACTCTTCTAAGCGTTGTTTACTGTGTTTTTTTTCGTTTAAATTAAGACGTTATCTGAGGCCATCCACGACCTTCTCGAGGAAAGTGGCTTTGGCACTGCCCAGCTGATGTATAATCCTATCCGATTCTATCACGAACTCGCGGTACGGCGCCATCGCAACACACAAGGTATGATAGTTCACTCTCTAAGTGTTGTTCCTGTGTTTTTTTTCGTTTAAATTAAGACATTATCCGAGGCCATCCATGACCTTCTCGAGGAAAGTGGCTTTGGCACTGCCCAGCCATTGTATAATCCTATTCGATTCTATCACGAACTCGTGGTACGGCGCCATCGCAACACACAAGGTATGATAGTTCACTCTTCTAAGCGTTGTTTCCTGTGTTTTTTTTCCGTTTAAATTAAGATGTTATCCGAGGCCATCCACGACCTTCTCGAGGAAAGTGGCTTTGGCACTGCCCAGCCATTGTATAATCCTATTCGATTCTATCACAAACTCGTGGTACGGGCGCCGTCACAACAAACAAGGTATGATAGTTCACTTTTCTCAAAGTTGCTAACTATTCTTGTTCTTCCAATACAACAGGCAAGAGGATTCGCATCAGGACGAGTGGTAGCTAGCTCCTGGACGCACAGAACTGCCTTGCCTTGTTGATTTGCGTCCAGGCAAGTCGTACTAGTAGTACCAGTGGCTATCAAAGAATCTAGATTCTACAAACCGGTGTCCGAGGTGAGTCACGGTCGTCCTACCAACAATCGATTAGTATCAATCATCACTTCGAGCCGGTCACCTGCTTGCACATGATAAAGAGTGGCGCGTCGGACATATTGACTCCAACGTTAACGATTTTAGCAATAGTTACTTAGTATGTCGTGGCATGTTGAAACAACGTTGCAAGTCATGATGCACGTCCTGAACAACCTGAGGTCCTGACAGCTCAGAATGAAAGGATACTAGACGCAATGATGATTAATCAGCACAGGAAGAAAGTAGGGTGAAATAAGGGTCGAACGGTAATACAACTGAACTATTTAGAAAGACAGATGCTCATCTTCCTCAAACTCAACAGCGTCAGGTCTCCCAGTCTGAATCATCCGGATAGTTGTCGGCCCAACTGCTCATCGTCATCGTACTCGATCACGTCCTCGTGATCTCCTTCGGCATCAGCTTCATCTCTACCATCAACCTCGCAGGAATGAATACTTTCCTGGTCCCGGTCCCTGTCTTCATCTTCCTCTGAGTCTGGGTTATCAATGAGATCCAAATTGGCACAATCTCGCCATCTCACGCACGACCTTGGGATGCCCAATTCCGTAGTGCGTGTAACGTACGAACATTATCACGATCAACGAATCTAAGTTATCCTCAATTGGAGACGGATGGTGAAAACACATGAATACACTTACATGCCGACGTAGTAAGCTTCCAGTCATCTACTACATCATTGCACTGACGTGCAAATGTCTCTCCATGGCGAAGGGAGGTGGTACCACGCCCGGAATTAAATGCCGGAATTAAATGCGCACTTCGTATCACCTGGCTAGGATCCAGAAACCCGAACGCATCACGATCAGCCTCTTCCACGAATGCTACCTTCGGAAGTCGAGCGCAGTTCATCCCTGACTGGTGAACACAATGGCCAATATGGCGCCTCCAATTTTTTCCCATAGGGAAAGTTCATGATACAACCAATAATCACATGTCCGCCTCACAAGGCATTGCCAGATGGTACTGTAGTTTCAGTTTACGCTTTATGCAGAATGTGCCAGAAAATGTGTGGTATTGAGGATACACGTCTCGGAAACACAAGATGCACGAACTGGTAGGTACTAATAGTGATGATACAGTAGTGGGCAGCAGGATCGTATTCATACTACGATACACAAAAGCGGACTAAGCTCAGTTGGATACAAGGATGGATGAGCAAACGAAGAACCGAGAAAACAATTCGAACAGTGCGTAACGAAACATCTTTCTTCAATCACTCTACATAAGTACTCACTACCATGGGCGGTACGTATTCCGGCATCAGACGGGCTTGCGCTCTTGACTCTCTGTGCCCAAGCTTCTTCCTCGCGCTTCAGGAGCCTTAGAAGGTGAGTGTACTGTCGCACTCATACCGTGACGCAAGGTAGCTTGAATACACCATATCGATACTGAATTTCGTGAACAAGCTATCTTGCTCGTCATCTTCGACGTCTATTCCGTCGGCGTCATCTTGCACTAATGTAGTGCTCGCGGTAAGATAAAAAAATGAAAAGATATCTACCACGTCTGACTGCTTCTCTACGTCTGAGCTCACAGCTTGTATGTTCGGAAATTCGAAGGCAATTCGATTGGGCCTCTCCAGACCACTGTCGACAGAATAGGATGATAACGTAGGCGACGATGGCACGGCGGGGATGACGATGATGATGACAATGGCATTCTGACGAAGTTCCTCGTGTAAGTTGAAAGGTAGGACTTAATGCGGTACATATTTAATCCGATATTTGATCGGAGCAGAATTCGGCATTTCAAAATGCCGATACCGTGACAACATCATGTGACAAGTACTTAGTCCACGCATTTTTGGCAAAATGTTCATTACTCCAAATTGCACAAATAAATAAAATCAATTCTTTGACATTCGACAGTGTGACATCGAAAGTACAACATCTGCTAGTTTTTCTTTCGAAATCAATGTATTGAGTCCAGCAGAGAGTTACCGCACAGAAAAGTGTATCTTCTCTAGAGTTTGCACACTTTGTCATTATCCATTCTCCACCTGGCAGATCTATGGCCTCCTCGACTGAATGGGTGTGTCCCTCAAATTTCTGGTGGGGTGTGATCGCTGGTCCAGGCTCCTTCCTTCTAACGATAATCGAGTCCCCGCTAACCTTTCATGTTTACAACCTTGCCCAAGGTTGTTGTTGTCCAGATGCCGACACCCTCACATGTCATTGTACAAGTAAGTATCATCTATACTTGGTATCAACACTCATTTTTACAATTCGTACATCAGGCATATCTACACATTCAACTTGGAATCAAAGCCTAGGGTGGCGCATGTCACGAAGAAGCCACTGACCATCTCACCCTGTTGAGGCATACGAGCCGTCCATGTACCATCCTGAGGACACGTCAGCTAAAGACTAGCGGAGAAGAAAGTTGGAGCTTAAGTAATGTGGTGAGTAGTTCAAGTATATAGATAACTGCCGGAATTTTTCGAAAATAATTAGACCGCTCTGAACACCCTATTCATGTAATGCTCATAATCCTGAAAGGTTATGAGCCCTGCTTAATCATATAACAAACCTCAAAAAGAACAATCAATTTACGCTACGCAAATACATACATATCTATAATCAAAATGACTGACCCAAATGCCAATCCTAATGTCCAGACATCTCAGTCTTCCCAGACTTCCCACATATGAACTTAGGATCAGTCTCATCCTATAGAATGGGAGAGCTTAAAGATGGACAACTGGATGATGTGGAAGGAGAAGATTGAAATGGTCCTCTGAGTCCACAAAGTCCATGGTCATAAAGATGGGACCTGTAAAAGACCCACAGATCCTAATGAGAAAAAACAGTGGGAGAAAGATGACCAAATTGCTTGGACCATCATCCTTATCAATTTGAAGGATGAACAAGTAGTTCATGTGTCACGAGCGAAGACAGTCAAAGAAGCATGGGATAATCTGAAGATGATTCATGAGACAAAGAGTCAGTTGAGTGCGCTAATTGCGAAACACACCTTCTATTCATTGCAAGCCGATGAAGGCTGCAATATAAAGATACACGTCACCGAGATGATGAACAAACACAATCAGCTCAACATCATGGGATGCGAGATACCTGATGCGGAGTTCAAAGCACTTCTTGTGATGTCGTTGCTGAAGTCTTGGGAGTCATGGACTGTGTCCTACTTAGGCACACATGCCGATAAGGGCGAGTCACAAAAAATTGCAGGCTATACATCCCAGGAACTTATCTCAATCATCATTGATGAATCCAACCATCGCAAGAGCCATGATACCCAAGAAAAGGGGTATTATGCCAAAGCTGAAAAAGGGGGCAAAAAGCGAAAGGTTGAAAAGAAAGATGAAGGTCCAAAGAACTGAGTGAAGTGTAACATCTGTGGACATAATAATCATCCTACAGATAAGTGCTGGTTCAAGAACATGCCAAAATGTAGCTCCTGCAGGAAGTTCGGGCACGAACCAAGGACTGCTGGGGAAAAGATGGTCCAGGTCCATCTTTGAAGAAGTATAAAGGAAAAGAGCGTGCAAACATGGCACACGACGAGCAGGATGATGAACCTATGGACGAGGACAAAGCATTTGTAGTCTCCAAGAATGTATCCATGAATGAAGGCTCTGACAAGCATGTTTCCTTTTGCTCTGGCCAGTGGGTAGCCAGCTTGGCAACCACATCTCATATAACGAACAAAAGAACTGCCTTCACTGAGTACACTCCATTACAAAAAGAAATTAGCGGAACAGGAAAAGTACCAGTTGAAGCAATAGGACGTGGAACAGTTGAGATCACGACAAAAGTCGGAAACAAAGCTGTTCATATATTGTTGAGAGATGTTTTACATGTACCAACAGCAGGAAATAACCTACTCTCTATAAGTCGGCTCGACAAACAAGGTGGAAGAGCTATAATCAGAAAAGGGCAAATTAGTTTGCTCGATGAAAAACACTGTACTATAGCCACCAGTCGACAAGAGAATAGACTGTACTTCTTGGACATGTTTTCCAAGAACTACAATGAACAAATAAATACAGCTAAAGACAAAACAACATGGGAGCAATGGCACATCAGATATGGCCATATAGGCATAACGGGACTCAAACACTTACTCAAAGATGAACTAGTTGATGGTCTTGAAGTTGATGAAAACTTGCCAATACCAGAGTGTGAGGCTTGTATACAAGCAAAACATTCGAGACAACCATTCCCCAAGGAATCTGGAAATAGATCAGTGGTTCCAGGAGAGATAACACACACTGACGTGTGGGGACCATCACAAACCACTGCAATAACAGGGGTTATATATTATATCACGTTCATTGATGACTGTACATGAAGGTGCACAGTCAAATTCACGAAAACAAAAGATGAGGCCAGCTCGAAGGTTCAGGAATATATTTCCTATATAGAAAGACAATGGGAAACAATCCCGAAAAGAATCAGAGCAGACAATGGCAAAGAGTATGTCAATAATACTTTACTCAGATGGTGCCACCAGACAGGAATTATAGTTGAATTCACAGCACCATATTCCCCCGAATGAAATGGTGTAGCCAAGCGATTCAATAGAACACTCGTAGAACTAACATGTGCAATGTTATTAGCATGAAATTTGCCAAAAACATTATGGCCTGAGGCAGTGACTCACTCTGCATATCTCTGAAATCAAGCACATACATGTGCTCTACAGGGAACTACCCCAGATGAAAAATGGTCGGGGAAATGTCCAAACATATCACATCTACAAGAATTTGGAATATCAGTATGGGTCCTTTGAGAAGGAGAAAACATCTCCAAACTCGAACCAAAATCAGAAGAACACATATTGTGGGCTTTTTAGATGGGCCAAAGGCAATCAAGTACTATGACAGAAACACACACTGAATAAAGTATCAAGAAACTATCAGTTCTTCATGCCTAATGTACAGCATGAGGGAGAGAAGGATAGAGTACAAGACCCGCTGCACATTAATGCAGCATCCGCAATGAAAGACGTAGACAATCTAACGTCAAAGAAAGAAATTAGCGGAAAAAGAAAGAGAGAAAATGATGTACCTGATGAGCCAAGAAGAAGCAGCAGACAAAGGTCAAACATGATTATCAGATATTAAATGATCCAACAATAGAGCTAGAAGATATACCAGCTAAATTAGCAGCCCTCGCAGAAGAAGATCAAGACGAGAAAGAGCTGATATACTCACCAGCAGAAGTGGTGTATGCTGCTTTTAACAAGACTGGTGTCGCACCAGAAGATCCGAAGTCCTTAAAAGAAGCAAAGGAATGTTCCAAGTGGCCAGAATGGGAGAAAGCCGTTCATGCCGAACTAGACCAATTATAAGAAAAAGGCATGTGGAAACTTGTCGATCCCCCAAAGGGACGGGTTCCAGTAGCCAACAAGTGGGTTCTAGTACGAAAATTTGACAAAGAAGGAAGATTAGTAAAATATAAGGCGCGACTTGTAGCAAAAGGGTACTCCCAAATTCCTGGTATGGATTACATGGACACATTTTCTCCAGTGGTCCGACTCGAGACAATACGAGCAGTTTTAGCACTAGCTGTATCTCAGAACTGGGAGATTCAACAAATGGACGTAAAGGGTGCTTACCTCAATGGAATCCTTAAGGAAGAAGTGTACATGAAACAGCCTGAAGGGTTCGAAGATGAAACCAAAAGGCTGTGCCTAGTGTTTTAAAGTCCGGTCCAGTCCAGTTTTTTTGGCCATTTTTGGCACAACCGGACCTGGACCAGTCCTAATTTTAACTGTAGTTCCAAAAGACTGGACCGAACTCTGAAAAACCGGTTGCCTTCAGTTGCTGGACCACACTGCAGTAGGTTGCAACCGGTCTTTCAAAAACCAGTCCAGGACTGGTTGTAACTGGTCTAGACTTCATCATAGTAGAGGAATGTGCTCTACATGTGTTATATTTGAATGATTCTGTAAGACACTACCAACTAATCAGTACTTTGCATCTCCCCACTGCCTCGATCTTCTCTTCAGCCTGACCATGAAGTCAACTTGTGTGTGACGACCCACGGAAAAGGTTATTGCAATGGCATCTGCCAAAGCCAAGCACTCATAGCCTTCAAAGACGAAGCAAGTGTCACCAAAAGGGAAGAATCGCAAATGGAAAGCTGTATTGAGCAACAGCGAATCAGAAACCAGCGAGAGTGAGACTGAACCAAAACGTACTTCGAAAAAGAAACCTCCAGCTCCTTCAAAATCTAAGCATGCACGTCGAAACACGATTGATGAGGTTGTCCACGAGAGCGAGGCCAGTGAAGAAGAAGAAATTGAGCCCTTTGTTGAGGATGCTGAAGATGAAGAGGTAATTGCGACTTGTTTCATTGTCATCTGTATTGGACGTCAGCTCAACATCACCGGATAGCAGGAGAGCAATGGCTTACAGGAACAGCACCACACTCCTCTACCCGATGTGCTGAAAACGAACAAACAGAGTACAACTGATTTACTCACTGTGTTCTCAGATCGTTGTACGGTGAAGTTTTGCCAGACTAATGGAAATGTAGAAACATCGAAGGGGCGCTGGTGCAATGTATGCAAGTCAGTAGATCAGATTGAATACTAATATTGAGTACTTACATTGCGCCTGTAGAGATGATAAGGATTTTGTCGCAAAGCATGGAAAACGCAAGGCATTCCACGTCGGAAGTAATTCTTTGTGTCAGCAACACATCCGAAGTCATTATGAGGTATAAAAGAGTAAATGTAAAGAACTGGGCCTGAAGGAAAATCACCATGTGATACCGCGTGATATAGTGAAGCTGCAAGCGAATAGGAAGAAACAAGCAAAGGACATCCAACAAGATCTAGGCCAGATGTTCCAGAAGTCGCAAAACAAAGAGTACTCAAGGGAGGATGTGCTACGCACAGTTGCTGAATTTGTGGTCTGCAACGATCAGGTGAGTGATGATATCGATGATCCATGAGATTCGGAAAATTCTGAAACAATGTTGTCATGCAGAGCCTTGTAGTGGCCGACAAACCTGCATTTGAAAATTGTTTGGTGGCAATGTGGCCAAATGCTATACTGGCAGACATACCTTCAACTCATGATGTGTCAGCTTACATCCACAAGGCATTCATTGAATTCATCAAGGGTCTCAAGGTCCAAATGCAGGTGAGTACTAGTACTGCTCCATATTCCTCTGATATATCTTACAAAATATTTACAGGCTACTACAACCGGCCTTATTTCAACGACTACAGACTTGTGGTCTGTTGATCAGACGAAGGCCGCATTTCTAGGCTTAACGGCTCACTGGATCGAGGCTAATGCCTCCAGTATATGGACACTTTTTTCACAGGTCACCGCTTTCAGAGGTATATCTGGAGCGCATAGTGGGCACAACCTTGCACGCTATCTTTTTAGATTGTATGAGCGTGCAGGAATTACCAATGGGCAATCAAGCAAGGTATGTCTACCATCCACGTCTCAATTTCTGTGTGCTGAGTTCTACAATAGCTTTTCTGTATTACTGCCGACCATACTAGCAACAACGACACCACTTGCGACATCATCAAGTCACTGCTTCACCGCCGCCACATATACAACTTCAATGCCACTCGACAGTGTCTTCCTTGTCTTGCCACATGGTCAGCCTCGCCGTCACTGACATTATGTCGGTTATCACACACATCGCCAACATTGAGACCACAACCGCAATATGGGAGTTGACCCATTGCTCCCTAATAACCACGTTCTCAGAGACTCACTTGATGTTGTAGCTGCGGTGCGTACACTGCCATTAAGGTACATTTTCACTGCTGCCCATAAGTTCTATCATCTAACATATCTTTACAGATTCAGTCCTCAGGTCAACGTATCGAGTACTTTGAGACCTTGCAAGTCAAGTGTGGGATCCCAATACCACTGAAAATTCCCCTACACAGTAATGTACACTGGGGAATGGCTC